AAAAAAAAAAAACAAAACACCCCCCTCCTTTTTTTTTTTTTTTTTGGCAGTATCCATTCACTTATCTCGACATTGCTACGTCTCATTAGACAGCTGGGTCCGAAGATCAACGAAATATTGCACCATAAAGTCTTTCGCATAAAAGTATATATTTTCAGTATCGGAGGACTAACGAAATTTAGTCGAAAATAATTGAACGATATGCCCTAGAAAACATACTATGACGAATCTTTACAACCTCAGTCATTATCATTGACGGATAAAAATGGGTAGAGCTACTCCGTACATCTCTTCGCTTTAAACCTTGGGACATGGGATCTTCAGGTATCATGGTATAGGTAAGACAGCCATTCACAAATTATTCACAAGGAGCCCAACAATATCGAGACTAGTCAGCTACTATTGTTTGTCGCTTGAATCTGGGGGGGTCTAGGTTCGGCATGAGCACTATATTTCTGAAAGATCCCACTTGAGTGAATCTGCTCGTATCAGATTTTAGCTCCAAAAAATATCGGCCAAGAGATTAAAAGAAGACAAAAAGGAATAATAAAAAGAATTTAGCCGCCGAGCACAGGTAGCAGCAGCTGTCGATTGCGTACCGAGAGCCGCTTTAGGTCCATTTTTACCTGCATTCTCCACGCTGGGGCCCTTCGATACGAGTCTCCTCGGATCACTGTTCATTTGTGGAAACTACACCGGCCAAGGGGGGTTTATTTAATCTGTTAGAGAGCCATGACAGTCACTCATAAGAACCTATTATCTAAGGGACATTGATTTGGTATTAGGGTGATGTACTTTGTATTGAAAGAAATCATTTGGCCCAATCAAATACTATCCTGTCCCTGCTCGTTTGCCTTTATATTCATTTCAGCGTTTGCCTTGTTTTCTTTCCATCATTTTCGAGACAATTAGCGTAACGATCCACTTGTGCTCTATTTGACACATTTTATCAACTCTCATAATCTGCTCTGTGTTATCGTCATTTTGTACTCAGTATAGTACCAATGGGTCTACTATCTGCTGTTAGCTTTTTTTTCTCGAGGTTCCCGAAATTTGCTCGCAGGCCTGGATGGACTGCTGCTCGCGCGGTCTCACTACGACTCCATCAATTTCCAACCGACGAGGGAAATAGCGATGAAGAAAGCAATGGAAAGGCGTCAAGAACGCGATGTCATCCTATATTCAAGATGTTGCTCTTTGTAACTGGATTAGCTGCTGCTGCTGCTGCTCTATTTGGGAGGCTATTTGAAGTCTCTCAACTTCCTAGCTTCTCTCCTCCGAACATATCATATCCATACTCCGTCGTCCCGATGTGGTTATCGAATAAGGAACCAGCAGCTGTACCTGTGCTTGGAGAATCAAATTTCGACTTTGGGATGTATTTTCCACCACAAGGAAACAACTTCTTTCCACTTGTGGCGCCCTACAACGAGCCGCCTCGCCGTCGACCGAAAACACCGCTCTTCATCCCCTTTACTAGAAATAATGCCATAATGCGTCAGACAGTTCTCGGATACATTGCCAGCGGATGGCCCAGGGAAGATATTGTTATTATTGACAACAGCGGAACTGCCGACGCCAACAATCTAAATCTCCTGTCAGCGTCGAACCCCTTTTCCCTCGACTACGATCTATTTCGTAACAGATATGGCGTTTCAATACTGCAAACATCTGTTCTTCTTAACTTTGCTCAGTTACAAAACTTCATGCTGAGAGTGGCAATGGCCCGTCACTGGCCATATTTCTTCTGGAGCCACATGGACGTTGGAATTCTGAGCCACGAAGAAGAGACGCCATACTCGTCGTTTTATGAACGCGTTCTTAACATTCTCGATGAAGCTGAGTCATCCCGACTATCCGGCAAAAGCAAATGGGGAGTCAAGTTCTTCAACTTTGACTTTCTCACTCTGGTCAATGTGGACGCGTGGCGGCGCATTGGGGGATGGGACGTGTTTATCCCCTATTATACTACGGACTGTGACGCCTACGGACGATTGAAGATTCAAGGATATGATATTGATCGCGTGGGTGCAGGGCATATATGGGATGTGGCTACCGTCGTGGAAGATCCCGAAGCCAAGTTTTTCCCGCCTAGTTCTCAGCCGAGGTCTGACAATGGCGAGACATCCAACAGTACCACCTCTGAGGATAACGCGCCAAACTCGGAAAGATTCAAGGCTCTAAAAGGCGAGCTGCAAAAGATTCAAGATGACAAAAACGCTAACGGCCGGAATATATGGCAGAATATGCAAAAAGGAGGAAAGGGAGAGCCGTGGACGTATGATCCCGCAGGCTTCCAAATTGCTTGGTGGGAAACGTCAGATCATGGAAAGAGGCTCTTTGAGCACAAATGGGGAGGAGAAGGCTGTGATATCTTCGAGCTCAAGAAGACTATGGACAGTATGTGGAAAGGTGCAGAAGAGTAGAGTTATTGGTGCATTCACTTTGCAAATCTACGTTGGGATCTGGCGACGAATAACAACTTACTGTGGCTAGTAGAGATATGGCTGTTAATTTATTTATGATATATCCAATGAAAAGGTGATAGGCACGTCAATAGTTACTATTACTAATATACATAAATTTTGAGCGAGTCACCGGCCCAAGGTTGTGGCTAAGTGAATGGTCGAGGGCGGCTAATAGGCGGACGTGGGTCGCCGCTGTCGACTTTCCCAACGGAGTGGGCTGACTACTTATTAAGAGTTACAACATGCAATTGTCTAAGTCATCAACAATTGAATCGATCTAAGATCAATAAGTCTCGATAACCAACACGTAGCTTCCCTTGCCGATGATTGTCTTCCACCAGGAGGCACTAAAGTATGAATTGCGAGACGCGTTGTCTGAAGCCATGATTACTTAGGCTGCGTCAAGAGGCTATGTATTTATTGACAGCAGGTCAACTAAAGAAAGAAGTGGAAAACAGACGGTAACTTATGTCTGCCACCGGCGTCGCAATCATCCTCTTTCTTTGAGGGATCTACAACGAAAGCGACCACTCGAACAACTGGCTGCGAATTCTTAGTGTTAGGCAAGCAGTTCGTAAATAAAACGACGTGGACCGTGAGACATCGGTCTAAATTCTCTTTCCCTAACCACGAACCCAGCTTGGACCATGCGGCTCATCCGGTACTTCGGTCTCACCCGTAGAAGATGTATCTCAAATTAGAAGTCTCTCAAATGCTGGAATCGCCCTAAAGGAGATTTGACATACATCCGTCAGATTAGCGACTCAGTGGTGATCCAGCGAGACATTTACAACTAAATTGCTGATGTAAGACGGGGAGTTCTTGAGGGACAAATTAACGTCAATGCCCTCGCAGATCAGCTTTTCCAGAGAGATTCTGGAGTATTCTAAGCCGATTCAGATGGTAGGGTAAAGGCAGTGCTTTTCGTTCATCCAGATTCAATATCATACCGGCAGGCTTATCCGGATGTTCTAATTTAGATTGTGTATACAAAATAAATGAATATCGGATATCACTTCGTGACGTTATCGGAGCTGATGCTTGCCAACCATTCCTCTAATTTACGTTTGCGTTTTCAAGTGGTGAGTCGGATGAAGAGTAATATTGGGCTTTAGGTCAGCTAAAGCTACTGTCGACGTTTAAATTTATATACTAACAGATCGCTGGATTGCAGCATGAATGCTGCCTCCAATCACTTCTCCACTTCCACTTCGCTCTTATGCCTCTGGTATGCCAACAAAGCAGTTTTTCGCCACCGTCAGCCAAACTTTACACAGAGACTACGGAAAACATGTCTAAATAAAGATAATGGATTCAAAGCTTGGAACGAGTTTTTTTTCCCCATTGGCATTTAGTTATCCAATCTTCCAATAAGAAGCGTTCTCTAAGCACGTATCGGAGTTCGAACGGAAATACCTTCCTGATTGTACTAATGAAGTGGGGTACACTAAAACCACATGGCTTGAAGTTGACTATTTGAGTATTCTCTCCCGAATGCAATGATCGCATGCATCCCGGTAGTGACCATATCGAGTAAAACAGTCCGTTGATACACACAAGAGAATGACGTAGTTTGATAGGCTTGGCTTCGAGCATTTTCTGTCGCTATGGTTAACGGGTAATTTGAGGCGTCGTTCTTTATTATATTCTATAGATATGGCCATGTAACTAAAAGTTGGATTTCTTCAAAATTCTATCATAGCGAGTTTATAATGCCGGCTTTACGAAGCAGGTTGAATGATGGGATGAGTAAGAATCGGCTCTTTGTCCCTTGTTATGTTATTTTAGTGAGGTACAGTGAGGTACATGTTAATTGCTGCCTGTTGACCTCTTCTGAACCAAAGCTACACCTCCTCAAGTAGTTTAATTAATAGTTTAGGAACACTAATTCTGCCTTTCACTGTAAGCGATCCCCAATATATGGGTTACGATGAGGAAAAGTCATAACTTGAGGGCCATTTATGTAACACAGATTGATAGTTGCCCTATTGGAGGAGACACCACCGGGCGTAATAAATTGTGTGTGTGTGTAAGCGATCCAGGCGATCTGGCTTGAGTTACCCTAGCTGAACTTTATGGCTACAAAGCTTTGAGATATCCTAACCATCCCAATTTCGACGGGGGCTAGGTACAGCCCTTTATTGCACTGCCTTTATGGCCTATTTAAACTGATATAGCTGCATTCATAAATAAAATCTCTATAAATAAATAAACATACTATATTAGAAGTGGAGATTATACCATGTCGGTGCCTCACGCCAGCGCAGATGCTCTTTATGGTCAAACCCAAAGTATTTCCAAAATCCTCATATCATCGTACAAAATCTCTCTCTCACTTTTGCCAAACCAGAGACAGCAACTACCGTCTTACTCTTCGCTCGGCTGTCTCATATACGCTTCGACCGCTGTATTAAAAACCGCAAATGAAATACAGCCTCCAGCAACAGCTTGCGGTCCCGCATTCTTGGCCAAGATGCCTCCCGCCAGACATCCCGCCGCCATGCTGTTGACTAGATCGTTCTTCGCTCGGAGGCCTTCGATGCCGCACTCGATTCCGGAAAGCAGGCCGCCGAACTTGCCAAAATTCTTTGCCATGCTCCAGTAGCGCATGCCCATGTCCTTGAAACCGATTTTCAGCTGCTGGCGGAGAGGAAATGAGGTAACGGCTGGTTGACCATTGGCGCTTTGGAGGGGACTGCGGAAGGAAGTATCGTAAGACATCTTTAATTAAAAATAACTAGATTAGCCAGAAATAAAAGAATTAAGAGCAAGGGAGCGACTCTGAGCAGCTATAAACGAGAAGGGGAAACAGAAACCTACAGATGCCATAAATAAACCGAATAGTCCGCCCATGCCGAAGCCCATGACACCTGACATAATAGTCTTGCCATAGCATGATTCCATTGCACCTTGGATCTAGACCCATGAAAACAGATTGGTAAAGCTGTATGCGTTACGCGGCGCGAGTAGAAGTGAAAGATAGTATGGGAACCTACGGCTCTGACATTTGAATCCTGGCCACCAAGCTGGGGAATGAAGGGAATGAAGGGAGTGTTTTCGTTGAACGGTGAAGGAACGTTCATAATGGGCAGGGATCTGGCAAATAGTAATCCGTCTATATGGTAGTGAATGCCTCTGGGAACGCGTTGCCGACAAAATGATTTACTTGTATGGAGGTTGAACAAATGGTCACCTTGAAACTGCTATCAAGAATTAAGGCAGTTAGGTTTTAACTTAGACTCCGCGGGGAATGATGACCGTCGTAAAAAATTAGCTCTCTTTGTCAACAGTTTATATTTTACACCACCTTAATCGCAGGCCAAATCCTTCTTAGCTATCTTTTTATTCCTCTCGAGATCGTCTTGCCTAACGCCAATTTTTTCTTAACCCCAATCCCGAGTGCGAGATCTGTCGTGCTTAATTATTCGTGAGCTTATTTGTAGACGTCAACTGACGCGGGACAGCAGTGCTTCCGATACATCCTGTGACCATCGTTCAACTTTCCATCTGCGGTTAGCGGCAGGAGCTCGAGCCCTGAGCTGTCGTCTAAGTTTTCATATTTGGAAATCACTGTGAACATGATCGCGAGCTTTGCTTCAAGGTTACTTTTGGTAGGCTTGAACAGTTTTGGACCTGGCATGATGCAGGCACATTTCGTCCATGTAAGTGAGCTGAATTGCTGATTAAAGTGAATTTGGCTCAGCACAGTTTCACTCTGCTAGCCCAGCAAACCAACCTTCAGTTGTGAGATATTATTGGTCTCTAAATATTTAACTTTTAGCTCAAGCAACGCTGAGAAAATTAACTGCCAAACATGTCCAAGCTCGCCGCCTATCTCAAAACACAAGTCTACCCAACGACAAGCCAACGTAACCAGAGTTAGACTAAGAGCCCTCAGCATACGCCTACCTTCAACACTTCAACTACTCCATAGTTTTCTATACTAGTGTTCAGGACTTCTTCCATCATCTTCGCCATGTCATCCTCCAACTCCAACCCTCGTATAGTTATTACGACGCACGACACAGCAGGAACCGCTATCTTTGGCTCCGACAGTGAAGTTCCCCTATTCTACCCATAGGGCCGGCGGGTTCATCCTTTGCAGTAACCGGCATACGCAACTCAATACCGGTCAACAACATCGAGCCTGCACCATAGCCAGAGGCGCCAGATCCTCCCTGCATGTACCTGCCTGGTTTTGCGAGATCTTTGACCTATAAAACATTCCGTTGTAAGATGGTGGCGATTAGGCAATCGGATAAGGGCTTGCAAGATATCCCGCCGAGTGCCCTTGTATATTTGATCCCACTGGGTGCGATCCATCCAAGGATTTGATGATGCAAAAGCATAGTTTTTTGGTGACTGGTCGTATATGGCCGGTTGGCTATTCTCCTCGAGGCGTTGTTTCTCTCTGATTAAAACTGCATTAAGGTGTGTTTCTGCCTCGGCGCATTTAGAATGTTTTCCATCATCCGTTAATTGTTTCCGTTTCCCTTTCGGCATGTGTGGGTGGCTGCCGGACTTCATTTGCGAAGGGTGGGTATGGCCGCGACCGACTTCAAACCAGCCACTAGCCGCTCTTGATCGGAAGAATCGTTGGCACAACACACCTTCTGTCGAAGGCACCTCATCTTGGCTCAATGGTTGCAGGGTTGGCTGCCGCACTTTCTTCCGTGGGTTTATCCAGCCGTGCTTCTCGCGGCAGTGAGCCTGTATTTTTTGTATTTGGCAAGCAATATGAGGGCAAGTTCGACATTTCATGCCATCAGATCTTGGTGGCTCAAGATATGGGATTGGCTCTATAGTTGGCGGAGGAATTTTAAAATTTTCTAACTCGGACTGCCTGTGAATGATTTTGTTAATTCCTTGGACTGCACTGACGATTTTACATCGCTCGCCAGGCGGAATTTCGGGGTGTCGCTTCTGCAGGTGTGTGGCAGTCTCATCAGCAACACAGGCAAAGCGACATCGTTGACAGATAACAAGCCGATAGGCAGGTAAAGAAACAAAAGGGTCTATATTATATAATAGAAAAATAAATGCATGCTATGTAATAATATATTATATATATATCTAGCTTTTATTATTATTAATAGTGAAAGTTGCTTTATTATATATATAAGGTACACAAAGGTAAGAAAACAGTCAGCACATGCAGCACATAGGGGTTAGTTATTCTTTATCGATAAGAACCAACTCTACCCCAGTCTTCCAACCCAACTCTACCCCCGGTATAGTGTTAAACTCTACACTCTACTACAGTTGACCAGAGCTTCCTAGTGACTAACTTCTTTAGCGTTATCCCACCGCGGCGTGCTAATGAAGTCACGCTCTGGCTCCATGGGCCGAGGGGCAAGTCCCGCTGGCTGACGAGGAAATCCGCAGAGTTCTGGCGCCTGGCGTTTTCAATTCTGGCGGAAATAGAACATAAGAACGAGAGCCTCAGATATGAGAAGGAGGTTGGGAAACCAGAATTCTCCTAACTGTATCCGCTGCTCAAGCCACGCACGAGCTTCCGTGTCGACGCTAAGATCAGCGCCACCTTGCTCTGCATGATCACCGATAACGACTTCGCTGCAAGGATGGAAGGGTGCGCATATGCTGCAACACCCTCGACTGCGAGAAGACGAGCTTGGTATGTCTATGCTTTCTAGCCAGCGGAGATTTGATTTCGCTCTCTTACAATCTGCTTCTCTCGTTCATGAGTCATATCATGATCCGGCTCTAATTTTCCAGTGCTAGCAAAGCATAGCTGGCAGCCGACAATCCTCCACCACTCGACCGTTCTAAGTATGTTCGTCAAGCGGAATCATAGCTAATGCATACTGCTTGTCAGCTGTATAGTCGTCGAGTAACTCAATGACAGCGCGCCGATCCTTGACTGCATCGATAGATGACGATTCGCTGAAACTATCGAATAGGGGCTTGAGCCGCGGCTAGGCGAAATATTCCTCTGGCTATCTTGTGGGATAGAACCAGTATGAGGTGACAGGGATATAACCGGTGGTCGTGGTTGTGGTGACGGAGTCCTGTGATTAATTCGTCTTCTCTTTTGTGGTGGTGATGGCGTCCATGACGATACGCTGTGCCAGTGTGAAGCCTCATCTTCATCCATTACTATATACTAATTATTAGTAAGCTAGTTTAGCTTTGAGATTTCGGTACTGCCTGGAGGGAATCGGAGAGCCTCATCAGGTGACCTAGTACTGGTGCCTAAGTGGGTATAAGACTGCACCTGGTGGCTACCCGAACCTATTATTCTGCTGGGTAGATGGAGAAACTCGTGCCGCTTGGTGGACACGCACTCGTAAAGCTCTAGCAGCCGCGGCTGTAGTACAGCACCGTACCTACAAAACTGGGTCGCGTCGTGGCGGTGTTGAGCACCGGCACTAACCCAAGCGGCCGAGCATCGGCCACTGCAGATGACACTACAGACCAGTACAGAGGTATCTGAGCCACAGCAGCAGCAATGCAACAGAATTTTTATAAACAATGCGGCAAAGTGACTGGAAAATTTTATCTGGGCAGCCGGGCTGGCCTGAGTGGAGCAGGGCGAGATTTTCGAGAGATGTATATTCAGGGGCGGCGCCTCAAACTGCGGCAACAACACTGAACGCCCGTGAAGAACACGGCAGCTATTACCCTCAAACAACAGAAATTCACTCACAATGGCAGTTCCTAGCTCAGGTACATTCGTCGTCTCTCAGATAGATGTGCTTGAAAGCATCCGCAGAGGACACTCCGTGCCGGTCACGGAGCTCACCACTTCGAGGGAACAAAGAACACAGGATGCCGAGACCATCCAGGACCTCATCAGTGCCATTTTCCCCAGCTCACAGCGGCGGGGAATATCCATACCCTCCTTCCAAATGTATCTCAATTCGAATTTGATCACAACATTCTCAAACACACAGTCGGCTCTCGGCAAGGCCGCGACAAGCATCATCGAGCGCTGGTATTCCGACGAGCAGGCTGGATTCCCGGCGAGAATGCCGGTGGAGGAACACGAGGATCGTGTGCTCCGAGTAAGTGATCGAGAATCCCAGCAACTCCAGCAAGATAAAAACAAGCATCAAGACTAAGTTCTGCGTATTTCTATTCCTCAGTGGATCGCAAGCTCCGGGATCGTCCCTCCATATGCCGGGAGACAAGGATCTTGGCGTCCGGATTATCTCTTCAGCGCAACGTCCGAGAAGGCCTTTCAGCCTGTAATCTGCGAGATAAATGCTCGGCTTCCGTTCAACACCTGGCTCCTGCTCGGCTCTGCTTCCAAGCCATTCGATCAGCTCGGGCTTGACAAGGCCGGTCTCAAGACTGGCCACGATGGTGATGTAAGGAACAAAATCCGTAAAATGGATCTTCTAAGCGCTTGTGTAAGTGCAATGATAACCTGACCAGTCGGCATTTGTAGGCATTCCACTCGGCAATTCTCAGCATGTTCGATGCGTCTCATCCCGGGCATATCCTAATAGGTTCTGAGTGGAAGGGCATAGACGTCCATGTTCTCCCGAACCTCTTTCAAGGCAAGACTGGACAGCCGATGCGGATCATCTCGCCGGTACAGTTGCGGCTTACCCCGGACTCCAGCTCGCCCACAGGATATCATCTCTCTTGCACGGTCGTCAACCCCGAGAGCGGCAATGAGGTCGAGGAGCGAGTCTGGCAGATGGCCCTTGAGATCGTGCAAGGCGAACTGCGGGATCTGGACCCCGACGTCATGCGGGAGATTGCGCGCGTCTGCATCAATGATTTCAGAACCTACTTCTTGTTGCATGATAAGCGCTTCCTCGCTATCATACTCGAAGAACTCAACAACCTCCTAACCTTAGGAGTGTTTACTGCTGACGAAGCGCAACTACTCAGAGAAGGCATCGTCCCTTCATATCTTCCCGGATCGCAGCGCTGGCGGGAAACGATTGCTTCGCCAGCGACGAAAGATAGTTTCGTACTCAAAAATGGCAGAGGAGGAATCGGGATGGGACATGTCTTCGGGAGCAGTGTCTCGGAAGAGGAGTGGGTCTCCGCTCTTGAGAAGGCGGGTGAAGTCAAGCAATACCTGGGCGGCCAGGCCGTCTCTCTCCAGCAGAAGGTAACACAGCATGAATTCGATATTCTCAACGCTGCTGGAGAAGATAATGGGAAGATGCATGTTGTGGGCTCGTGGGTTGCGTTGAACGGAAAGTTCGTCGGAACAGCAGTGATGAGGATTGCTGAAGAGCTGTGTCTACCGATTCGGGAGGGAGGCAGGGGAATGGGTATGTTTGTGGTAACTGATGCTTGAAGGTCGGAATAGGCCTGATATTATGAGTCAAGAGTCTTTGTTTGAGAAGACCTAGGCTAGCACTAGGACAGGAGCAGGAGTCGCACGCAGGAGTTACGACCAATACCACCGAAAACATACACTTCAGCGCGCGCAATTCATTCAGAGGATATCATAATCTCAACGACTATATGGTGCAAGAGCGTCCGGGAACTCGGTACTGTGTGAGATCCGGATAAAGGGGAACATTGTGTTACAAATGCGAAGCAGAGGCGCATAAAGAGGACTCGCTGGGTTTATTAATAGAAAATCCCTATGGATGGGTGCACTCTGCTCTTGGAATCCTGTACTTGTACAAATAAGAAATTGAAAGAAATAAATAAACAAAGAAAAGAAGAATCAATCGAACATCCCCAGAGTAAAAGTTAAAAAAGAGAAAAGAAAAGAAAAACAAGACGCTATAAGGCGAAAGAACATCAAATGCTGCGAAATTATCATACACTGCTTCTGCTTTCATGTTTCGTCGTCGTCTGATCGGGGCTCAAAATTAAGCTGCAAATAATCTATGGTTAGTCTATAGTTGTTGTTGATGAATGTATGAATCACATACCGAGTTGCCATTGTAAAGTTGGTGATCGCGCTGCAAGTTCTGTAGCCCTCTGACACGGCGATTTCTCTCCTCAGAAGCCGTCCTCGCCCTGGCAAGAGGTGTTCCATCTCTCCCCTGGCCCCTTTCCCCTGCGGCTTCTCTCCGCCCACCGCCCAGGCCAACCAAACTCAGGAGCCATGTAAAGAAGCCCAGAATCATGGCAAGAAACTTGGAAAAGAAGGATTTCTGCTGCTGCTCCGCGGCACTATAAGCCGAAGAGTACTTTTGGACGGGAATGAGGACCAGGGTTGATGACGGAGCTAAACCCAGCTCGCCAAGATGCTTGCTTTCTTCCGTTGCGTCAATGTTCTTGTTAGGTAGCGGTGTCAGGACCTGCTTGAATGTGTAGGGAGCATTGCCCTCGCCTCTGTTCTCGTCGACCCAACGTCTGACTCCCTTTAGAGGAGAAGCCGTTTTAAATCTTGAGCGTATGGTTGAGCCGTCAAAGAGCCGGACCTGTAAGGACGCCATTTCGGATACCTTGGCCATTGAGGGCAGTTTGCTCAGCTGAGCATTGGCCGAGGCAGCAGCGCCGTCTGCCTTTTGGCTCTCAATTTTCTGCTGCTCCTTTGCCGACGCCCGCATCCGCCTCTCCTCTTTGTCATCCTCTATGCGCTTCAGGATTCTTCGCCGCTCCTCTTGTTCCGCCATTCTCTTCTTCAGCTCCTCGGCCTGCTGATGTTTTTAAGGAGGGAATTACTTGAGGGTTAAGGGGAAATGAGGCCCGTTTACTGAGCTGGGGAAGATGCAAGAGAGGTTGATATGGAAGAAATACGTGCTTTTTATCGGGTAACGTGGAAAATCTCGAAATAAGAAACGGGCCTCGTTTCTAAAGGCTTGACAAGGGAATAAGATGGTAGCGTGTGATTGGCGCAGAGAAGGAAACGGGGGCCGTTTCCATCAAGATTTATAGAGTAAATTTATATTACAGGTGGCCTAAGACCCTGTTCTTCAGCTCTTTACCCCTTGTCCCATGTTTTAATGCATGTGACTAGATCATTTCAAGATGTCCATGTCACGGTGGCGCCTTGCTTAACGAGTCAGTTTATTACCCAGTATTTACTTCCCTGCTGGCCATCAGCTGGTACAAAGGGGAGTTAGGCACCAAACCGCTCAATATGTTAATCGTCACAGAACATGATATAGGGTTCAACTCTTTGCTGCCATCTAGTACATTATTTACTATGAGGGAAATACCATTGTCACCATTGTAGGATCAAAAAAACTTGTGCAATGACTGTCGCGACGCCCATCATCAAAGCGAGGGGCCTGTGGGGCTATAGCAACTCCGTTTTCCAAACAAGGTGGAGATAGACGCATGACAATGAACTCATGACCAAAAGAAGGCTCTTTACAAAGATATAGATCGTAATTCACCGGGATAAGCATAACTCGACGACCCAATCGTGTCAGATTATGAGAAGCATGTGAAGAGCAAAGGGGAACCAAGACAGTTACTCGTAACAGACAGGTGAATTTTTTTAGCAGCAGTTGATTGGTGGTATGTTGAATACTGTACCTCAGCTGAGGTAAAATATAGAAGGAGGTTATCGTCTCTTGGTAGCTGTCGCGGCACTCATTGCCACCCCATGCCTGACATATGGGTACAAGTAGACCAGTCGTTACCTCTACTTTCGATTACGTTGCGGTTCAGAATTTGATAGGTATAAGTACTCAGGGTAGCATATTCCGCAGTAAAAAGACCTTATTGGATGAGCACTCCGTAGGTTCATCTAATACCATGTTCTTAAGTTGTCAAAGCCCGCGGCAGGGATAAACCCCGAAAGCCCGCGGCAGGGATAAACCCCGAAAGCCCGCGGCAATCGAACACCCTGTTGTACGCAAGTCCCCGGCAGAAAATAATAATGGAAATTGAATTAGATGGACCTGATAGATTTAGTTAACATTACCCCGACTGCATAAGTGACCTCAAATGAACTACCTAACAGCGATGGAACAAGTTAGCCTGACTCAACTGGACGACCCTAAGTAAACAAGCCGACCCTGATTCATCTCTTCTTAATGATATGGAGTCTTTTGTCAGCCAGATGTCTATGTTTCATTAAGTGCCTAAACCAGGTCTATATCCAATATGCGTCCCTTCGGTTACCCTTTTTTTCGTTGGTATCAGACCTAGGTATGGGTTGAATGTCTAAATTAGGCAGTCTTTAACGCCTCAGCGTTATTTATTGGGCGATGAACTTAAGTAAAGGCCTTTTGCAGGACCTAGAGAAAGCTAATCTTGATATATTTAGCTACACGGCGGGCCCACCACAGCCTACGCTTGCCCCAACTATTTGCATCGGCGCTTCTTGCGACGACGCTAGAGGGAATACGTTTTCGGAGAAACTAGGACACAATTTAGGCAACTTCTGGGATCCAATAGAGCCACGGGTACCTGAGGGGATTATATAAGCGCTGCTGGCCACCAATACACACCGCCAACTTCTCTGCTCCTAAGATTGATTAGCTATCTTTCATCGAGCTAATATAAGATGCAGCCGATTGAAGAGGCTAATCAATTTCCAGATGACTGTATTCCTCCTGAGGGTGATTATGCGTCTCGAGATGCCTTGGTCAAAGCAATCAACACCTGGGCAGCGCCGCAATGCTATGCCTTTGTAACCGGAAGATCACATAATGAGAAGACTGGAAGGCTTACTGTTACATATACTGTCGATCGTGCCTGCCACCCTCCAAGTGCCTCAAAAGGCCGTAAACGGCATACTAGCACACGAGGCACTAGCTGCCAGTTTTCTGTTCTAGCAAAGCAAAGTCTCAATAAGGCTATATGGGCCTTGAAACATCGTCCGGATAAAGAATTTGCTATCCATAACCATAAGCCAAGCTGGCATGAGTCTGCTCATCCAGCACATTGCTCACTATCTAATACAGATAGATCAACAATCAGCAGCCTTACAAATGCTGGAATAGTGCCTAAGGATATCAGGACTTATCTCCGTCAGAACTCAAATACTATTATGACCCAGCAAGATCTCTTTAGCCATATTGCAGATAGCAAGCGAGAGCGCTGCGAAGGCCAAAGCAATATACATGCTTGAGCCAATCAGCTAGATGAGGAAGGGTTCTAGAACCGGATGCAACTTAATGAAGATGGCCGGGTTACAGCAGTATTATTTGCTCATCCAAAGTCATTAGCATATCTTAAAGCTTATCCAGACCTGCTTTTCCTAGACTGCACATACAAAACGAATAAACATGGGATGCCGCTTCTTGAGATTATTGGCGTTGATGCTTGCCAGTGATCTTTCTGCATTGCATTTGCATTTTTGAGCGGCGAAACTGAAGAGGACTATATCTGGGCTTTAGATCGGCTTCGATCAATGTATGAGCTTTGCGGTGCAACTCTCCCGTCTGTTACTGTAACATATCTAAAGATCAAAGAATTTTTCAAATCGCCGGAAACATAGACGATATATCTCTGCAGAATTTATCTAAAGAGCACGCAAAGCAGACTTCTTTCAATCAGAGGTTTGGATCCGGACGTAGGCTTGGAGCCGGACCTAAACCTAATTAACTGGTTATAGTCGGTGTGTCTTAGCTAGATAGCTAGATTCCTAGAGGAAGCGGAACTCTATAATTTGCTGTTCTTTGTGCCTTATCAAAGCCCCCTTTTAATGAGTCTGACTGTTAATATATCCACATCTGCGAATGTTGTTGGCGTAGAGCCATGCCCGCAGGCTGAGGCGTAGGTTTTGCAGGGACAACAATCCCTAGGATCTTCTACCTTCCTTTTCCAATTGGTGTTTAGGAACTCTTCGAAAGTGTGAGATCAGTTTTTTGTTCGCGATCACGCCAGCTACGCAAATAAGCTCGTTGTCTTAATAGTCCTCCTGAATTACGCTGGGATTGGCTGGGTACCCTCGCGCTCTTGTATCTTCGGCGTTGATCTGTTGCGCTAGCGCATGCGTGCCAACCTCTCTGGCGCTAATCCCGGCAAGCAAGTTGTCGTCTCCCTGGTCTTCTGCATCGGCGGGAGCTGCTGTTTCCGTGCGCTTCCATGGAAACCATTTGATTAGATATGGTCCACCATTTAATAGTGAACCCCAGTGCCGCTGAGTACAAATGCTTGTAAGGATGCCTTCTTTCATTTTTCTCTACTACTTCGCCCATGCTCTTTTCGATAGTGCTTTCATATAATAACCTGGCTCTGTGATAAAATATGCATAAGTGGCATTTGAACCCTAGATGAATTGGCAGCACAGTTATAGGTGGACTGCCATGCTGCGGTAGCTTAACGGTATTAGGGCTCTGAATGTCCTAGAGCCGGCAGAGCGTCTTAATTGCATGCAACTCTTGACATTTAGTCTTATGTTGGTTTCTGAAATGAGATTCGGCACCGTCACCGGGGTGGACCGCGATCCTACACAGGAGGCATACGCCGACCCTGTGGGGACTTAAAAAGGTAATAAGATCTTTGGATAATATTTGTAATTCTGGATAAGAATTAGTCCTGTAATGAGTCCTGGGTGTCTGTTTAAGTACTCTTACCTTCATCCAAAATGACTTTCTTCTTTACACCGGTACTGGCCATGGCTGTTGTTGTAGGAGATCTCGCCACTTCATGCTCTTTTCTTATCTTGCTTGCCTGGTGGATGAATTCATGCCACCGGGTTGAAGCCCACTTGTAAGCACGAAGCAGTGATGGCTGTAAACCATGCGGGTAGGCACCATCGAGACTGTATGTTGTGTTATGTTGAATAACCTTATGCCCGCTTTGCATTGCAAATACTATGTTTCTGTCGGCTGCCGGGCTCTTGTTGTTATATTGGTTAAAAGGGGTGTAGACTTCTTGCATGTGCTTTTCTGTTATAGATTCGCGACACCCATTTTGCCTTTTACTGTAAATCTCAACAATATAAATATACCACAACCAACATTTTGGAATCAAATATCAATCATATAAGACGTATTGCTCTAAAATAAACCTCTTTGCCCTTTTTTATTTTCTTGCTTTAAGCAATGCTACCTGTGCAACCTGGACTAATCTTGGCCTCCGACACTATCGGCGCCTTCTTCAGGTTTCCAGCTACCTTATGGGTATGCCCATTATGCCGGCAGCTTCTGGACAGACTATAAGGTGATATTATAACCTTTTTAAAAAGTATTGAAGTTGCTTTTGACTTCATCCAAGAGCTGCCAACCGATATTAATATAGCCAGTGCTAAATGTATTGTGTCGCAGGTTTGCGTCCAAATCGTCAGACATAATAGAACTCTCCGCTCTGAAGCTTTCTGAAGTTCTAAATAGAGATAGAATCTCAGGACTATTAGCGATTGGGGTATTATGGAGAAAGTGCAATTTCTAATTAAACGGAGCTGAGGGTACGTTTTGTTAACAAATGGTAATAACTGAGATACTGAAGCGCTACTGACTAATTGTTGGCGCTGGAGAGCCAAAACGTTGCACGCAAAGCCCTTACTACGCATTAAACGGACAACGAAACCATCATGAGCCAGAGAGTCCTGCCCCAATACAGGGAAGTGGAGGCTTCCAATCTCTAGGAGCAGATGAAATCCGCCGGCGCATTAATCAGCGGGTTTAACGCAAAGCAGATAGCTGCGGCGTATATATAGCTTAAAACAGACGCCTAAAGTGGTAGGAAACTCCCGGGTCTGAATTTTTCTCTCAACACTACTGGAGCTCTGACGAAACGTCATATTGACCGACTGCAACAACGATTGAGCTCTACGCATCGCTATCCACTGAAGATGGCTGAGACGCCGGTTCACTAGGCCAAGCTTTACAGTTTAGGGTAAGATTCATGGAGCAAGCACTTGGAGCCATTCAACAACTCGCAGAATTCAACAAGTTATTAGACCAATCATAAATCTAACCGATTCCTTATTGCTGTCGAATACAATATCGGCCTCTTGGCTATCCTGAGAACATAAACATCATTTACTCTAATTATTTGATCGATCATGTGGTTTGTGAGTGACCATGGGATGACCCTTCCATACTTTGCACGCGGCATTCCAAAACTTGTCATGCTCCTCTTTAATATTGTTCCATTGCACCTCCCGGGGTCCGGAGGCAATGCAGCAGTTGTCAAAGTAAATCTTCAGCGTTTCAAAGCATTCTTTTTCTGTCTCCTCCGAAGCCCGAGGATCCCCCCATTGGATAACAAATCTCTTCGTGGGATCCCTTTTGACTTTGCGGCCTTCAGGTGCTTCATAAGTCCATGTCAAGTGGAGGCCTTTCAATTCTCTCGCGACATCGTCGTCTCTCTGATCGTCGTCGAATGGCTCCCCTGTGTCTGTGAACTCTGGCTCTTTCTTATCTTTGCCACTGAGCTTCCAAGACATCAAGCCCCGGAACTCAGACTCTGTGTCCTTGAAATATCTAAGGGCATTGTTAGAGGGAGAGAACGCGGCAAAGAGATGGCAAGTCGGGAGATCTTGGGCTGGTACACACCGAAATAAGGTAAGAGCGGGTGCTTGTGCTCCCTTTTTGTCGCTCACCATCTGTACCAGACAGGCTTTCATGGCAGCGCGACGTCGGATTTCTGGGGCGTATTTGCCTTTCTACAGAATAATATATAAGCTTCGTGCGCCTATGTCGCTCAGTTGAACAGATAAAGGCTCTAGAAGCCTCGAGACAACTTCAAAACTTCCCGGAGAGATTTTTAACTTACTTTTTTGGATCTGATGTCCAAAAATCCATCTTTTGAATCAGGGTTACTCGGGTCTTTAGGACACCAAGACCATTCTTGTTCCCCTAATGTTGAACCCACCCAACTGCCTTGTTGCAAGAAGAGTGCGCCTCGTTTGGATGCCGAATCCATCAAAGTAGTTGTATTTTTACAGCGAGCCACTCTGTGACTACCAAAATCGTAAGACCAGAAGTTGACCTTGCTCACAACCTTTTCCGTGAGATCATTAGTGGTACGCAATGCAAATGACGTACAGCGCCCAGCAGGAGTAGTCCAACAGATTGAGAGCGGTGGCTGAGTTATCTCCTCTGCATCTATTGCTTCCAAAGCTGCCTGTAACTCCTTTTTCTTCTTGTTGTCACCGGACTTCAAGCTCAGTGTGAATGGCTCTTCCAACAAATATTCGTGGGTCAGCCCCATCTTGTCCAGAAGATAACTGACCATGATCAAAGAAGTGTAGGGCCCATCATTGAAAGTATCTATCCAGGCTTTATCGATGACAAGCTTGTCAATAGTGAGTGACTCCATGATTGGTATCACTGCGGTCCAAAAAGGCGTGAAGATCGCGCGAGAGGCAGTTATTCGCTTGAAAACTTTGTATGGATTAAATTTTGAGGCTCGAAGAAGGGGGCTCAAAATAATTCGTTGCGAGACACCAAGCAGCTTCAAAGTCTCAAACAAGTGTAAGAGGACATGGAAAATTAGGTCCAACCCCGAAGACAGTGGCATACGCCTACGGTGCGTGTTTGTTCACCTATGCCCCCTGAATAATGATATCATATGTAGAAAGCCATAAGGTGCTCCGATGGCAGCTGAAAATCCCGAGCCGCATCTCTAGGTGGAACTTGGCCAACAGAGCTAAAGCATGGTGATGACTGGCCAGCCAAAGTAACAGCAAATCAGCATACAGATAGGTGGCTCTCGCTATTCAAAAGCCCCCTGTTGCTGGAGGCCATCTTATCCCGATTGCTACTTACAAAAGTTCTCTGCAGGCGCTACTTGATATCACTACACGATACAGTCTCAATGAAGTGTTCACACTAACCTGTCGCTGTCTGACAGATATGCGGGATTTAATCCGGCCAGTAATCAGTAGAGGCTTGCCATAGCTTTCTCCAGCCTCCTTGATGTGACGATCAGAAGAAGCCTCTCACAAGCTAGCATTTTCCCCGTGCACTAACCAGCGCTTCCCGTGCCGTAGTCGCCGAGACTTTGCATGACGCTATTGCGTTTGTAAGTCTGCACACCCCTCTACTTTATGCATTTATCCAATATCCACGGATATGCATTCTCTGTGGTGTAGCTTGACATGGATTCCTTATGCCCCACCTGTGCCGTGCAAGAGGAGTCGAGCAGACGAAAAGAGTGTCTCAAAGGGGTAACTGATGTCCAGTATTGCTTCACATAGCCAGCTGAATGATCCTCCAGCGGCAAACATTCGTCAGTTGATAGATGTGATTGACGATGTTGGCTTATGAGGTAGCTCGCGGCGCAACGTGATGTCGACCTATAGACGAAGACTCAAACAAAAATATTTAAAAGTGAGAACATGGCACTGAATCGACATCTTTAACTTCAGATTCCACAATCACGCTGCCTATCATTGTAAAAACGTTTCTCAAGACATAATTTAACATCTTCTTCATCAAATCTGCAACCATGCCTAGCAAGAACTCGGCCATTGCTTCTGCCCCCATCCCACCGACAAAAAACCAAAGCGGAAATAATCTCGTGTGGAATGTGGCAGATGGCTACGTTCAGCTGGCTCGTCGTACCGACAAGGACGACAATCTCCAACAACCCGTGGTTGGCAAACCACCGCATGATAAGCCAGACAACGACTTGATTGCAGCGCCCGACAACAGGGCTCCTCTTACAAAGCCCGCTGACCCTCCTGTCGAAACCAAACAAGTAGCACCATTTCAATCCACTTGGTCTTTTGCAGAAGCTGTGACACCTAGCTTGGTTAGTACCTATTTTATTTCGTCGATTCTGCCAAAGCTTGCTGATGAGAAATAGACCAGAGTGTTTGCTGTCAGAGACGATTACGCCGTGTGCTTGATCAGCCCTGGCTACCATCCATTGAAGAGGGCCACGGCAAAGACGTTCAGCATTGCGGCCTGTTCCAAGCCCGATAGTGATGGACCCGACCATGAAAAGGTTCTGGTTTACTATGTGGTGTAAGTACAAAATCTCTTATAGATATTACCTAGACGTGTCAATGGCGTTGCTTACCTGTGCTGGCTATATAGGGAAGACGACAACAGTGACCGACGAGTCGCTGAATACAACATCAAAGAGAAAAGAGCCTATATCTTGAGCACCGACCTGAGCTCTGATCCATCCGACGCCACTCGGTTGTGTGCAATTTACTATGCTCCACCTGGAGAAACTACGGAGGAGCCGTACATCTTCTTCCAAAAGAAAGACAAGATTTTTGAGTATCGAACGCAGAAGAATTCTTGTAAGTACATGCCGATGTGATTATGGTAGTGGTATAAGGAAGCTAATAAGAATCTCCTAAATAGCTAGCGAGCTCACTGGCATCACTGATCTTCGCAGCCCAACTCCACTAGCCATCTGCCGTTTCAACAAGAAGGTGTATCTCTTCTGGCTGTCATCGACCTACCGTCTCATGTACAGCAGCCGGTCTGCAGGTCAATGGACATCGGGGACCACTGTGCCGGCTCCCGCAGGCGGACACCAGCCATTCAAAGCTGATACGCAGTCTGATCTCTCTGTGGTGGCTGATGAGGAGAAGGGCCAGATTACCATTTACTACAAGCAGGTAGACTCTGACAACGAAGTAGATGCGTACGTCTGGAAGGTAGCTCCATAGGCATACTACTTTGGCATGGCGATGTAATTCTACGGCTATGTCGCCATGAGTGTTAAATTCTGCATCGATATAGTTTAGTACGCCGCTTTGTAGCTCAGAAAACCCACAATACAAAGTTTGTTCAGTTCAAAAGAGGACAATAGCTACACTTTTGACTAGATAGCGTGGTGCCAAAAATCAGAAGGTAGTCTAAACAGCTTTGACGCCTCAGAGCGTGGCAGAGGAAGCCGATTAAGTGCATTTCTTTATTACTTCTAGCATCAGCATCTTTAGCGTGGTATTTTTTGTGGAAGAAATCATTCGTAATGATTCATTCAAGAAGAAATCACGGCAGGCGACACTGTTCTTTGGGTCAAGTAAAATGTTGTTGCACCTAAAATAGTATAAAGTACCGGTTAGCCAAATCGCAAGATAGTTATACACAATTGTATTGATTCTTCTCTCTGGGCTTGCTAAGCATGCTATTCGTGGCGGAATGTGTCAATCGCCGACGAAAGCCTAAGCAGCGTGAACAACAATGTAGTAAAAACACAAGGAAATTTGTAATGCGCAGTGAACAGTAAATGCACTTTGATACTCATCAAGCTCAAAAAGAATAACTAATGAGAGAATGGAGTTGGTAATCACAAGAGCCGCGCTGATCCAGCGATCTTTCGCATTTTGTTCTGTAGCACTATCCTCACTAACAACTATCGCAACCTTTATCCGTTTCTCCCCAAGAACCCCTTGCCTCCTACACTGCATAGTTACAAATTTAACTTCAAATTCGTACTCCCATCTTGCGGGTTGCGATGCTCATACTCCTCTTTAACAGTGACCTTGACAGACGGAGTCTTGCCGCTTGGCCAGTCGCTGTAGTCAGCAATCATGATACCACTAAGCGTGAAGCTCAGATTCTGAATGCTTCGCATGACGATAGTCTCCGCCCGGGGGACTACGGCAAGGTGGAAAAACTGCCTGCCATTCTCATCTGCCGTAAGAGAAGTCACAACGTTGAGTCTATAGTCTGTAACCATGGTAGCTCCGGGCCCATCGTAAAAGTCCATCAGCGTTGCGCGGACCTTGCTGTCAGGGGTTCCGTAGGGGAAGGTGACAGTGATGCGCTTCATGATCCAGCCGTCGTTGCTGTTGTCTTTTTTGCGAAGAGAGAAAACTAGGTCTTGTCGGTAACTCAGCTTGTCCAAATATCCTGGCGCTGAAGGCTTCGCCAGCGAGTACATTGAGAAACCCATAAGCAGTCTGTCTAATGAGGACTCCATCGACGCTCCCAATAATTTATGGGCAGCTTGTAAAGCAGTTGCTCTAAAAATGGCCGATTTGCTTTGTACAGTTAAAGGCCGTATGTGAGGAGACAGATGGTTCAATCTGGTCGGGATAATGGCCTCAATAGCCGCCTGACTGGCCATGGCAGCTGGTGTTGCAAAGGCAGCCTTCCAGTCGATACCAGATGGATGAAGAGTCACTTTGCTGTTGCTTGACTCGCACAAGGCAGCTTCAAAGAGCGGTGTTACTGGATCACGCAACATCCGCAAGCCGGCGAGTAAGCCATCATCATTGCTGTCCCACTCACTAGGTGGGAACAGATTGGGAGTAATCCGAACTTCCAAGTACCACATGGGATTGTTCAGTTGTATCCCCATCATTGTTGCAGTGGGATCAGTCTCTGTATAATCATCTTTAAGGCCTTCTTTCAAAATGCTGTGGACTCTGTCTGCGAATTCAGGGAGTCGCAGAGCGCGAACGTCGACGCCATCTTCGTTCCATGTGAAGATTGGCTTGCTATTCGGCTGTTCTTTGTCACCCCCCCCAGGATAGTGCATAAGAGTCTTGATGGGGTAAGTTCGAACTTCTCTCTTTTCTTGCTCGCTGAGAGGGATGGTATAGATCTTCCGGTATGCAACACTCAGGTGTGTTGGCTTCAGCGAGGCGCCGCAAGCAAATGCCTGTTGATGAGGTGGCTCTCTGAAAATAATCTTGGAAAGATCCGCCGAGCCAGGCCTCGTTTCAAACATGACGAGAAGAACGCCTTCAGCAATATTTTCCTGCCGGATAATGATAGTTGGGTCGGGCTTTTTCTGGTCTTTCCGGTAAGCTTCTACAATAAGGTCGGGGAACTTGATGCAGAGCTCTGAACGGAGCAAGAAACCAAAACCAGGCCGCTGAGGCTGGTAGTGCAATCCCTCATGCGCCTGGCCCAGATAGTCGTTGACCCTCTTCTTGAGCTCTTTGCGGATTTTCTCATCGTTAGCCTGATGACTCCCGATGCTTAAAGCACCATCAATAAGACTGTCAACCCAGTGACGATCAATATGGAAGAACCGCAAGCTTTCTGGTGGCAGGTAAGACGGATCGGGGATGTAGTAATGCGCGGGTACACCGGCCAGGTAGATACGATCAAGAATCCACGAGAAGACGATCATCCAGTCAGGATTCAAGGGAGTGTTGAGCTCATTGTACATGACGCCCTCGGTAGTTGACCTCGAAACGCGTTCGGCTGCTTTAGCAACAAATTCGCTGTAGTGCTGCTTGACCAAAGATGATTTTCGGGACATGTCCACTGATACAGATGATAGGGGCATCCATCTAGCATCGGGACCGTGTTGAAGTCTGGCCGGATCGCGAAGCGACCTCAGCGTCTTCAGCGACTCTGCAAGCTGGTGAAGGATCTCATTACGATTTTGGAAGAAGCCATTGGCCTTGAGTATCTCTTTTTTTGTTTCTTCCATGCCTTCCCGGCCAATGGTTAGACGCAGCCGAGACAAAGCCGTCGTATACCCCTACAACGGAAAATGATTGTCAGCGATTTTGCTCTCAGAAGGGCCACACATAAAAAGAAGGTTTTATATCTTACCTGGTCCGCTAGGGCCAGTGACTTGCCTACTTGCCAAGCCGTGGAGTACGTGATGTCCATGATACCAAGCTCTTTATCCATAATTTGGAGGTCTTCGCCGGTATAGGACATAGGTGTATCTTCCTTTCCGTGGTTGACAAATGTTGGTACAAACGGGCCCCTGATCCACGCCGCCGTCTGTTCCCCAGTCTTGGTTCTGTATCTTGTGATGACATATCCATCAAGCAGTCGACGTTCAAGTCGACTTGGAAGTTGTTGTCCAAGCGGAAGGCTTTTCTTGATCTGCTCTGGGTCGACGCGCAAGACGTCATGCTGAGAGCCAACGTGTCGAAAAGCGTCATACACATTGAACGAATCTGGGGGAAGACAGGTATACGACCAGCTCTCGAGGCTACACAACGCCACCCGATCTTTTTGTACTGGATAAGGCATGTCTGCGACGTTTTCTATGCTGACGAGATGGATAATCAGGTCTGTTGGTTCTTTTATGTCCAGCGGCCCAGAACGTTGAGATATGACGACGCTGAAGACGCCTTCTTCTCCATCAATGCCGCTATTAGCCATTCCGGTGGTATTGATGTTTCTTGTATGAGAAAACCATTGGTAACGCGTAACGTCACAGAGGTTTTGGTTGGTGGACTGCTCATAGTTTTTAAACAGAGCGTTGAATAAGTCTTTTGGTACAAAGACGAAGTTTGCTCCGATATCTTTGCTGTCTCCATCATGAGGATCCCCATTTGCTTGGACAGCAGGGCTGATGCAGTCAGAGTCGCTCGCCGCCACCAAGCTCCCAAGTTCGCCTAGAGACAAATTGACATCCAAAGTACTGGTCTGCTTCTTAGAAAGCTTAGGATAAGCTAGCTCATGCTGGCTGAAGACGAGGAGGGCAAGCCAAGGGACGCGGTTCCGTGCTTTGGGATCCTTGATTTCCACAGCTCTCCTGGTCCATGGGAGTTGTGGATTTGTGAGGACAATGTGCGGCAGTATTTCAACATTATCAGTGTGGCCTTGAGGCGGATACACTGAGTGAACGCTCCTATCAGGAAGTTTGAATTTGGGAGCGACTACGTTAAAATCCTGACTGTCGTTGAGCTTGATCTCCTTTTCCTTATTTTCGTCTCTTCTGATGACTTGCTCAGTCGATATGCGGTGTAGACCAGCGACCATCGACGGCTCATAGAAAGAATAGAGACGCTCCTGGCCTGGGTAAAGCTTCTCCGGTTTAGAGGCCAATTCAGTGGCTTCATTTCGTAATAGTGCCTTTTGAGCGTAACGATGAGCCAGGTACCGCGCCTGAGGTGGCTTCCGGCATATTGTGTAAGAGACCATTTTCTCGAGTGCGGTGACTTGTAAACCTTTGGACGATATCCAGGTGGTGTCTTGAGCTGAGATGAGGCGATTCAGATGCTATCAGGTAATACAATGCGCAGAGGCGTTTCCCCAAAGGTTCTCTTACTATTGCGTACTCAACATTTGAGTGGGCATTGGAAACTATCCGAAATTTTGCTGAATCCTATTGCAATAGACAGCAAGCCACAATTTCCCAGTTTGCGAGGCAGTGTATCATCTGTAAAAGCTGAAATGTTCAGCTCGCCACGTCGTCTCACACTTAGACAGAAATGTATGTGATAATACGTAGCTGTAGCAGCTAAAATGTAGGTTCAGCTCGTCACATCGTTGCCCGCGGAGATAGGAATTCATGTGATAATATGCAGCATTCGTCACAACCCATCATTCAGCATACAAGCCTATGTATCAGCTAGAGTAGCTGAGTCTATCTTCAGCCCGACACATCGTGCCTCATTTAGGCAGAAACATACGGAAGGATATGCAGATGCCATCACAACCCCTCATTGTGCGGGGCAGTATATCAATTGAAATAACTAAAATGCGGATTCAGCTAGATTCGGCTCGCCACATTGTCCCCCATTCAGATATCATATGTCATAATATGCAAACACTGTCACAGACAGACGTGCATGACAGTTGTGGCCGGCCGTTTCGAGCTGAACGGTGTTGTATTTATATGCCGTCGATCGCCCATCTGTGGGGTTGAGGTGCATTGGCGCTTACAATCTAGGGGATACTAGAATGAGTCTGGGGTATGAAATTACTAGCTGCATATCCACCAAAGCGTGTGTTTTCTGGGGGAGGGGGTGTGCGACTGTCCGGACATGTATGCGGCCGACTGTAAGGATTGATCTGCAGTCGCTGGAATTACTCTTTCGCTCAATGAAGAGCAAGACGTTCAAGAGGTTGATGTTTCAGTAAGAGCGCAACTAGGTGCTCGATGTTTTGCTCCATACCTTCACAACAATAGTACTAGTAAATTATACTCGAGATTTTGGAAACAAGACAACAAAAGTCTAAATCTTGATAATGTCTGAGGAATTGAATAGTACTCTGAGTGTGCCGATGAAGCTGGACGCATTCGTGTTCAATGAACAAGTTTGCAGTGGCGGAGAAAATGGCGATGATATGAGGGCCAAAGTTGCTCCCATCACTCAGCCGAATTATACGTTTCTGAGGCTTCATGATTCCCTCATTCAGGTAAATACATTATGAGCCATCCGAATTGATCATATCACTCTAATTCCTAGGCACTAACGCGTGGTTTGTTTAGAGTGACATTCTCCCTCATCTAGACATCCACAACTCATTCAAGAACAGGTACAACTCACGGCTGACAAACATTGATACCGGTGAGATCTACAAACACCGTGAAGGGGTTTATTTGCATTGGATGCTGCCAAGGGTCTACCGTTCTGGTATCGCAGCGACTGAAGATGGCGGTTTGGATCGCGATGAAGAAGGTCTCCCGGATGCTGCTGATCCAGATACTTCGGTGCCTCAATTTCGGTCAATCCCCAACAGATGGCTGGTCATCCGTCGTATACGAGAGAGCGTCCCGAGTTTCAATTCCATCAGTGTTCCCGAGTATGAAGCATGGATCATCGAAAGCGACAAACAAAGTAAAGTCGGGACCATGCCTGATGATGTGGATCTCCAGGTTGACGTAGCTCCTTTCATCAGTGCGCCAGAGGGAGAAGATGTCAACATAGGTGAACAGGCAGAAATATTCATTGGATCCAAGACACCAGTTGGAGACTGGACTGAGTCCCATCCCAAGAGGGCTCCTGTCACGGTACTCAACGGCGGCAACATGCTTTTCCCAGACTTTCAGCAACACAACTCGAATGTATTCAGCATGCTAGATAACTTCACGTACAAAGCTGGCGAGACTCAGAACGTCATTCAGAGCGCAACGGCGGACTACTACGTGGTTGGGTGGCATGCTGAAGCTGACAGAGGTACGTAACCCATCCGTCTCATCGCATAAGTAGATACAATCAGCTAATAAGCGCTCTCAGATCCTTTTTATATCAACGAAACAAGCAAAACTACTAGATCTATACGACTTAAGAATTGTCAAATGGTAAGCCTCTTTTTTCTCATGTGGCACAATTCAGTCGGAGGCTCATGTTATCACAGTTCTTGAAACCTGAGTCGAAAGACGGTTCGGGTTGGGCTAATGAGTCCGCCAGCGGCCTAACCGTTTGTCATGGGGCTATGTACAATGTCAAATGGGATGCCAATAACAAGCCTCAAAATATCCCAGCAGACAAGGTCTCCAACGAGCTGCACGATGTTACGCCGGTAGCCATCGGGACAACTCCACTGGACGCCCTGCTAGCTTATGTCAAGGCGCATCAGCCTGACGAAACAGATGATACCATTAGAAAAGTCATGACTGCCATCGAAAACATCCAAAAGTATTTGCTTGTTGATGAAGACACCATCGACGGTCATGCTAAAGCACGAGATTTGCTGCACAACTTCAATTTTGACAATTTTCCAGGAGGCACGAGGTTCCATATTTCGACTGCCCCTGACTCTGGAAAGCCAACAGTTAAGCCAGACAAAGATATCATTGACAAGCTTGGCCGTATCAACAAGGAACAGGTCCGGCTTGACTCGCTTGATCGAACAGAGCAACGCCTTCAGTGGAATCTGTTCTCCGTCTGGTGGTCTTTCGTTAGCCAGGGACTGCCTGAAGGCGACACGGAAAAAGAGAAGTTGACTTCAGACATCAAGAAACAGGTCAAAGCTCTAATGGATGAGAAAACTGCCATAGACACGGCTCGAAAGGAGTCAAATGGCCAGCAGGGAGATTTGCTGAACGATCCTGCTATAAAAATTCTCATAGCCAACGACATCATTGCGAGCACAGCCTATTCAAACTTCCAGACGCAGCAAGATCCAAATTTACTTGTTGGCCACATTGAGTCTGCGTGGCCACATGACTGGCTTGAATCACTCTTTGTTCGGGTCAACACTGACATCACGGCATGGAAGAGTCGAGAAGAATTGGGCCAAATACAAAACACGGTCGGGATCAATAAACTACCTCCAGACATCCAAAATACTGTGGCAGCTCTTGTCAAGGAATTCGTTGACTTGAGCAGCGGTGACAAAACCGCACCTGAAGCAACCTTGCAGCCGCTGTACCACGATACTGATCCCCGTTTTGGCACAAAAAGAGATGACTGGGGAAATACACAGCCATTTTTCCCCTTATTCATGGAATGGGAGGCTGAGTATGCGCATATTGACTATGAGGCATGGTCTTTGGAGGCCCGAAGGTTTGAAGCTGATGGTACCGACAAGTATAACTTTGGCATTTCCGACAAGGAGTTTCTATGGAACAAACCTGAATGGAAGCCAGAAGTAACACCAAAGCGGAAGCAAAACATCCGCATTCTCTCTGGCCGGGTTCTTGTGCTGCCACAAGCCTCCTTCTCTTTACAGGCTCAAGTAAAGCAGGTAATTGATCAAACGCCAGCGGAGGAGCTCAAAAAGGCACTGAAAGGCATGGATCCTCAGGATCTTATACGAGATCTTCCAAAATTGACATTTCTGTCTTCGCCCATGGCAGGCTTCCATGATCACCTCTTGACGATGAGCCAAGGAACGCATATTAAGCCAACCATTCGGCAACCCGGAGGCAAGCTCTTTTATATCAAGGATGCGACAGATAATGATGCTGGCCTCAACAAGACTCACCTGGAGTATATGGGCACCGAGACGGATCTTACGCCATATGCATCTCTGGTATACGTTTCCAGCGAGACAAAAGATAGCCCTTTCAAGCCCGTCACGCATGGCCAATTCAAATTGACAAAATTGAACATTATTGACAAGTTTGGCCAAGTTGTTCATGCGCTTGATCCTCGATGGGAGGCGCCTCCTCAAAATCTACGACCCTGCCTCAGCGAGTACTTTGCGCCGCAGAAGCTGGATCATAATATGCCAAATATTGTCGAGAAGCCATTACCAAATCAAATTGGATCGCACTATGCACAAATACCTCCGCATATCAATCAAATGGCAAGACTCAACTCCTATTTTGTGGATAGGAAGAAAGATGGCAAATGGGCTTCTCAAAACGGTACGCACATTCTTTTTCATATCAAGCACTCTCTCTGTTTCCGCGAGCTACAGCTGACTTGTACGTTATAGAGTGGGATAAGCCTATCTGGGGATGGATGGTGTTCAATTACCTTGACCGAGCTATCCAATTTTTTCTCGAAGACGGCAGGTTCTACAGAGAAGTTCGTATGGGAGGAGAAGCTGGCGCTACAAAGTCAGAAAAATGGCTTCCTTTCAAAAATACGTCTGGTGCCGCAGACGGTAAAACCCAGCTCGACCATCTGATCAATCGCTTTGCCAGCGATGAGAAGTATTTATCATCCATGCTGGACATGATTGGAGGTGCAATGGACTACGCAGCGGTGGCTCCAGATGCGTACGCTCAGTTTCTCAACAGCATCATCGGCCGGCCTTTGGCATTGGTGAATATGGCCTGGAGTCTAGAACTTGGCATAGATGAGTTTACGACCCAGTCGAGTCTCAAGACGGCCAGACCAGCCAGATACCTTTTGCCAGGCTATGATGGAAACGTGCCCAAAAAAGACTTGTATGAGTTTCCGTTGAAACTAGGCGACAAGAGCCGTGCCTATGACGGACTTGTTGGCTACTTCAAGACTCTGCCCAAGGAGGAACAGTCGCAGGAGAGCTATCTCGACCTTCGAGAGTGCTATACCTACTTTGGGGCTGAAGGGAAAGGTTCACCGTTGAAAATTATCAAGCCGGATAATTTCCCCCATCTGAAGCCTTTCTATATCGATGCCGTTCGTAACACTGGGGCAAAGATTGAGCTTGAGAGAAACAAAATGCTAGAGGAAAACACTTTCGGCGCCATCATAGATCCATTCTATCCGGTCCACGGCTACACGAGTATTCTACCCACGCAACCTCTCAAGATTCCGGAATGGACGTGGCAGGATGCCTTGTCTCGCATGACGGCCTTCTTCCACTTCGGGCCGCTAACCGTGACGAAAAATGTGCCAAATTTCAGAAAGGCCTACTTGCTCACGCAGGATACCAACATCAAGGATCCCAAGTCTATCATCGCGGACGCTGTTGGGCTACCAAAAATGGGTATGGCGGACTGGGCTTGGCTCCAGCCCTACAGTGAAGTGCTAGAAGAGGGTGGTGAGGAAGAGACTTGTTTCATGCCGTTGGGCCTTGCTGGAGCGGACAATGAGCCCAAGTTTCAAGAGGGGCCTTATACATCAGTGGAGGGATATCTTCAACTGCGCCAGTCAATTGTTCGAGAATAGATTACTCTCAGTATAGTTAGTATTCTTAGCTAGTTCTCATGTCGAGCCATAGTATTCATCTTGTTGTTGTGAGATTGAACTAGTTTACAAACATCATGATGAAGTATCACTCCCTTGAGTCGCCTGCGGTCTTTTCCTCCTCTTTCTGCGACTGCTTTTCTGCTTCTTTTCGAGCGGCAAGGGCCTTTGAATCAGGTACATCAGATTCCTCATCCATCAATTTCTCTGCCTGGACTGGCCCAATTCCTACTGGCCGCCCGTACTTTTCTACCCAAACGATACACGATTAGCCCAAGCCGCCACGCATTAGTTAGGAGTACACTATGGTTGAAGGCGTACTGATAAAGTCATCACTTGTACTGGGCTCAAACTTTGACGCCGGTTTCGGAGGCATGTTGGATCAAGTGCGAGAGATTCTGGTGTGATCAGCGTGGTAGAGGCTGGTAAGAGTGATGAAAGAAGAGGATTCGATATTTGCGAGGGGAGCTGAGACCGCCAGTGAGCAAATATTCATTCGTCCAAGTCTCTCGGCGACGTATGCGAGAGGCACATCCCGCATACAACAGCGTCTCGATATCAGATATTGCGGCGAGGCGCAGCGATGTGACTTGTCGTAAAATGCACGTTGACAGCTTTCTTGTAGATCAGTTCCGTATCAATCATAGAGTTGATGACGCCTGTCCCGCGCCCTAATGCAGGCATGTATCGGTTACATGCACTGAGACCGGAATAAGGATCACTAGCTTTGTGTACTATTACCTGCACCACTATCTTTCAGGAACATTCTTACTAATACTATGCATGGCTTAATGACGATCACAATTGACTAATTCTTAAAACTTATATGAATTAGTGATTAACCAATTGCGAGAATTAAATCTCTGTCATTCGACAGTCTCGGCATCCTTCTTCCGGTTTGCTGCATAATCCTTGCTCTCTTTGTCCCACCGGCTGCGCCAAAAAGGCATAGCGGACTGGTAGATCCAAGCTGAAGATAATCAGACTATAGCCGACTGCAGTAGCGCATGGATGGGCGGGAGGAAGAAGTTTATGTGACAGACGCTGGTTACGCATGGGGAGCGTTTCTATCAGTTGGTATTGTTGCATGAGCTCAAAGCGATACGCCGAGAGTGTTTCTTGGACAAAGAAGTTCAGAAGCAGAGAATAGGGCTAGAGGCACAGAAAGTCAAAGCCCGCGGGCCAGTTCCTCTGGTGTCTGCAGCGCTCAATTCGACGATTCTCAGACTCATCAATTGTCTTTTCCAAATGTCATACTAAGATGTCTTCAAACGGCCTATTTTACATCTCCTCTTCAAAGTCTGGCAAGTCTGAAGGGCCAGATCGACATGTCATACCGAAGACGGACGTGAATATTGATACGTTTCTGAGTCTCCTCCCAACGAAAGAAATAGCCTTGACCGCTAAGCCTACTAGTGATCAATCAACCATTGACGATAATGATCCATGGGCGATATGGATGGCCAAATTGGGAGGAGAAGGGAGCAGTCTGTCTGTCAAGTTTGACGATTCCCAGAAGCTGAATATTCAGTACTTCAGTTTCCGTATTAAGTCGCCTTGGGCCATTTGCTTCAGTTCATCAGATACGGCACTCTGTTCATCATTCGGCCCTGATGTCGCATCTGGAATACCGAAACCTGGGATGATGGAGAAAGGCACACCCATCTATTTTAGTCTCGATGTCAATCAAGATTTTGAGAATATTTTCTCTACCGTCACCGAGGTGTTCACTTATGCTGGGCTGCAAGATCGGCTACCAGCTCTCCCACAAGAACTTCGCAGTCAAAAGGTTTCCCTGAAGAAGGAAAACGTAGACAAAAAACGCAATTGTTTGTGGTTTTACCCCGATCAGGAGCTCAGGGCTACCCTACGACTCAGTTTCTCATTAGATGACATCAATTCCTTGACAAGTCTCTTGGGACAAGTACTCCAAGGTCTAACATTCGGAGAGGCATCTGTCATCATAAAGAAATCAATTACGTCGGATACTTCTGACGCCAATTCCGATCCCACGGAGACGGGTCAAGCAGCTTTCGAGATTCCGTGTTCTGTCACTTCCAAAGGAGGTACAGCATCGCTAATTGGCAGTTTGATTCCTGTTCGAGAAGGCTACTACTTCTCAATCAAGCTGGATACTGAAGACTCGCTTGATATTATCGTTTCCTGGCTTGTGGGACTACTTCCTGGGGGCGAGGATTTCAATTTAATCACCGATATCCTCCTCAAACAAGACTTCTTCAAGAACCACATACATCTGCGTCGTATAAGAGTGGACATTAATAAGAGCAAGGATGGAACGCAACTTCAACTCCAATCTGTAGCGATCGATATTGAGATTTCCACCGCCTCATTTGGGCAGAAGCCGAGCGAGCCCAAACGAGTGACTTTTTTGGTATCCTATAGCTGGACCCGTAGTTTGGGCACACTGGGCTCTCTTTCAGGGAGACTCTGGAATAGTGAGTCATGGCATCCTGTTGCGTTACATCTTCTTTACCTGAATACTAATGATATCAGAGTTCAATAATGATAAATTGCGCAAACTCCAGCCAGACTACGAATCATTCAACGACATAATACCAATCACGATGAATCCAGCCGAGTACATCAATTTGCCATATCTCATCGCTGGGGAGACCATTGACTCTATCCCCACTAACATTCCCACGTCGCTGAATGAGGTTACTATTAACCTCTCACAATCAACGTTCTACATAGGCGCAGGCATTGTGTCAACAAGCTCTACTGACCCGAGCCAAGTTGTTCCGCGGATCAACTTTGACAGAGTTTGGTTAGAAGCATCTTTTGGGTGGGGAGACTCGGCGAATTTCTCTCTAGTTTTGGAGACATCTACGACACTAAATTTGGGAAAAGCAAATGATGAGGATGATATTGCCACCATCTTAGGGTCGCTTGAGTATCATGTCGTGAAGAATGCTGAGGAATAATAAGAAAAAACCTAGGTCCGCCCGGTCTAAAGAAGAACTTCCATGGTCCTGACAAAAATGCTATCTACAGCCCAAAGCGATATTTATTTTACTATTTTGTTAAAGACTGAAACTTATAAGTGATAAAGTTTGTAATTAAGCTGCAAACTCTGTCCTCGGAAACTTTTCATCTTAGGTTGCTATAGATCAACTTTGACAAATATGGCTTGCTTCACTGCCAAATCAGGCCGCTCTTAATCAGCTTTTCTAACAAAGTGGAAGCTCCATTAGGTCAATCAAATTCATCTTTTATTGTTCAAGACATTGGAGCGGATAATGACAGCTATTCGCAGACCACAAGGCCTCCTGTGCCTGATGCAACCCGCCTGGCCACACTCTGCGGTCTCGCGGCTTCGGCGCCACCCATAAAACCGAGGGTGTATGGGTATTCTAGTTTGAGAAGATCGCTTAGAGACAATAGCTTGATATTGCATACCCTTTAGAATGTGTGAGACGGAGTGTCCGTATCAGCCACACTAGTAATGCACATGCAGCGCCGGGTTTGGTAGCGTCTCCTCAGCACCAGCTGCGACATCGAGCTCATCACTTCTGGTTCGGGTTGACCTCTACTATTGGCTGTGACTTTCTTCTTCGTGATGCGGCCAATGCAAAATCTTGCTATGCCTTGCTTGTTCAAGGAGGAGGTGATTGCCTAGGCATGGACTCAGGTAGTTGGCCATCCCCCTCACCAGCCTCTTGAGAACCATTGTGAGATCGCGGTATCTAAGCGTCAATACTAAGTTTGTATAGTTAACACAATGGATAACAATGCCTGCAAGGCGATTCAAGGCAATGGCGAGAAGGACTTGAAACCCAAAAAATCAGCCACTACGAAGAAATGGACACTCAAAGCTTCGGTTGAGGCTCTCAATTTTGGCGCTCTCTACGGGCTCCTAGACCCAAACGCCCAAGATGATGTTGTTGCCGTCCTCGGGCATTACAAGCTCGCGGAGCTGGATCTGGTATACAATTACAGCTCTGACGGCAAAGGCAGCAGCTTCAAGTTGTCGGGCAAGATGATTCTCGATAAAGTCGCGCTCTCTATGGCTTACACGTACGACCAGAACGGATGGTCAGTCGCTGCTTGGCTCACCGCAGAAGCATTAGGGGGTAAGAATCTCTTGCTCGGTGACATTATTGATAGCCTTGCTGGGAACAACGGCGATGATGTAGAGGAGCTGCCAGACTTCATTCGCAACCTGCCCATAATCAAGGGCTCGGGCGACAAGATCATCAACATCATCTGCGTGAAGATGAGCAAGAAAAACTCCAAGCCCGCTGCGGCCAATGAGAACCGGGAGGACAGCTACATCTTGTTTGAGGCGTCTGTGAGTCTGGGCAGCTTCCAGGTCAATTTTGTCCACCACCGCGACCTCTCGCAGAACTCTACGGACCCCCCCAAACGTGTGTTCAGAGTTGCCATAGGTGAGCTGCCAACGCTCAAGGTAGACACTCTAGGTGAGCTCCCTCAACCGTTTGACGAGATCGTCTATCTCTGGGTCCAAGACAAAAAGAGCCAGAAGCAGATTGGCAAAGAGGTCGGATTGACAGAGGACGAAGTCAAGCGCATCAACAAAGGAATCGAAGGTAGCGACAGTCCGTCTGCAGATTGGCTCTTCTACAGAGACACTCGTAAGCCTGAGAGCCGAAAGCCTACAGATGTGGTGTTGGCTGCAGGGTCTCATTTCATGGTTCTCGCCAAAAAGGCAAATGAGAAAACCGCAATCCTGGACTATACCCTGGGGCGAAAGAAGAAGCAACAGCAACAATCTGGCCTGGCAGTACTCGCTGGCCGCGGAGATGGAGGAGCAAAGGGCGGCAAAGGCAAGTCGGCGATGGCGGCGTGCAAGAAGGTAATAGGTAAGCAATGACAAGGAGGTTCTTTGTCCATTTTATTTTCTAGATGCTCACCATCAACAGGCGCCATATCAATTAGCAACATCGGCCTTAGATTCGAGGACAATGTTCTCTCTGTCATCCTGGACGCAACGTTTAGGCTGGGCCCCATTGGCTTCACCTTCATTGAGGCCGCTATTGGCATTGATTTGAAGAATAAGACTCTACGAGACTTGACAATTGACAACGTCAAGTTCGATTTATCCGGCCTGGCCGTTGCGTTCGACCAGCCCCCTATTCGCATAGGCGGCATCTTCGTGCACAAGAAGGCGGGAGGCATGGAATATTTCGCCGGAGGTATCGTCATTAGCCTTGAGCCGTATCAGTTCGTCGCTGGTGGTTTGTATGGAAAAGTCAAGCTATCAAAGGATGGCGGACCGTACGAAACAGCCTTTGTGTTTGCCAAGCTGGTTGGGCCCCTCATCGAACTCGAGTTCGCCGAAATCTCCGGCATCACGGGAGGCTTTGGATACAACAGTGAGATCAAGGTCCCAACCGTGGAAACAGTTACCCAATTCCCGTTCCTCCAAGGATCTGACATGAGCGATGATTTGCTCACTTATCTCGGCAAGCTGGTTTCTATCGACGGTACAGGCTCCTTCACTGTTCGTCAAGGGGCGATGTGGCTCGCTGCAGGCCTCAGAGTCAGCGCCGTCCAGATGCTGGACATTGACGCCGTCTTCGTCGTGGCCTGGAATCCCAGCATCACGCTTGGCATCTTTGGCGTGGGCGTGGCCAACATCCCCAAGAACAAAGAATCGCGGACCATGGCCCACGTTGAGCTGGGCATTCTGGCGGTTGTCGACTTTGGTGCTGGAGTCTTCAAAGCAGAGATGCAGCTCGCCCCGAGCTCGTATATCTTCGACCCCAGCTGCAGCCTGACAGGTGGCTTTGCTCTATACTACTGGTTCAACGACAAAGTGCCAGAGCGCAGCGGAGAGTGGGTGTTTACCATCGGAGGCTATCACCGCTCTTTCAAACGCCCTGACTACTATCCCAATCCACCAAGACTGGGCATCCATTGGAAGGTAGGTTCTAACATCAGCATCGTGGGAGAAGCATATCTCGCCATCACGCCGAAATGCTGCATGGCCGGCGGGCGATTACAGGCGACTCTGACGGCCGGTCCTCTCAGAGCGTGGTTTGCTGCCTGGGCCGACTTCCTCATCAACTTCTTGCCTTTCGACTTCTGGGGCCAAGTAGGCGTAAGTGTCGGAATCAGCTGCAAGGTAGATCTGCTCATCACCAGCTTTACCGTTTCAGCGGAAGTTGGGGCTCAGTTGGATCTGATGGGCCCGCCGCTGCGTGGTCGTGTCAAGGTCGATTTCTGGGTTGTGTCCTTTACAGTCAACTTTGGTCCAGACGTCAAGAAAGACAACCCTCCTAATCTCAAGCAGTTCTACGACATGGCGCTGGTGTCAGGCAAGCCGGAAAGCCTCGCCGCGTCATTCATGTCTGTCGCACATGCTGGTGCGGCCGCACCAAATACCGGCAAGGATTCACCGCACGTCTTTACTTGTCGGGGAGGATTGGTTCAAGACGACAACAAGGACAAGGCAGCCGCCACCGAAGAGAAGACGGTGTGGAATGTCAAAGCTGACGAGTTTGTGCTAGCCATTGATGTTCGATTTGCCTTGACCTACGCCAAGGTCAGCCGGCCACAGGAATTTGGAGAGAATCCAGATTTGCCAGAGTGGGATAAGAACGGGGACTATCTCCTTTACGCAAAGCCTATGCAGATTTCTAGCAACATTTTGTCAACCTTGACAGTAGATATCTTGCCTGTGAAGCCCAAGGCAGAGCTTTTGGCGGAGGATGACAAGCCGACGGATGAGAACTGGCGAGTCACGCCAATCATAAAAGAAGTGCCCTCGGCGCTTTGGGGAGAATGTTAGTTCATCATCTCTTATCCAGAATATCTACCAACGCGTAATTTTTGCTAACGCTACCTAGACAAAGCATCAGAGAATCCGCGCGAGACGGGTAAAAACGATATTGGCACGCTCCTGGATGGCAAAAAGGGCACTCTTCCTAGGATCATGGGTTTGAATATCAAGCCTCCGAAACCGAAGCTTGCCGATGACGCTATTGGAACCTTTGACGCAATTGAGGCCATGAAGATGGCTGTGTTTATCGAAAAGGAAACCCCCGAGTTCAAAGGTCTCAAGCCTGCCGACTCGGCCTTTTACGCTTCTAAAGAAGACGATCGCTACAACAAAGTCAAGAAGATCTGGGATGAGACTCCAGTCGCCCCCCGAGCAGAGATAGTAGATATACTTGGCAAGGGTCTAGGTTGGACTACGTCATTTACAACAGCAACACCAACTCGCCTGGTCGAAAATTTGGGGACTCTGCTGATGGCGCCACCTCAGATTTCTGTTGCTTGAAGATTTACCATGTTTCCCGATTTACATTCTTTATATAGTAACATGTGAGACAGATCGTAAAATCACTATTCAAAACTTGTTGTAATTTTCTGAAGGTATCTATCTGTGTTGCATAAGAATGACTCAAGCTTCTCCTTCTTGATTGTCTTCGCCCAAAGCTAATGTGTAAGTTGGTCAAAAGGGTTTGCTAATCGCGATACGCGAATCATCTCCCTACGGACTGTGCACAACAGATTTAGGCCAATCAGCTCGCGACCTCTTGATTTAACAAAATAGTAACTCAAGAAGCTTTCCGATTAACATTAGGGTGTATTGAAACAGCGGGGAGTTGCGACAAGAAGGGGAGATGCGGGGAATTTTGTTCTCGTCGGGAATTCAATCCGCCACGGAGAGAGCTGAGAAAAACACACTCAATCATTGCCTATGAGACAGTTGGAATGAAATTATCAAAGAATGTATCTAGATCATAGTTGTAGTTATAAAATGCCAAAGACTCCTTAACTTCAATATTGCTAAGCAATTGTGGTCCCTTCCCGCCTGGGACAAGATCTCACCATGTTATTTACAGCTTACTATCTTATAGGACATGCCTTAACAGTCCTTGCTGCGTCTTCGCCTACTGCCTATACTATTAATAGGATATAATCAGGACTGAAAATACCGTTCTTTAACTAAAGAGCATTTTATGGTATTTTATATGCAAAAGCGCCTGTTAAAGACCTTTGTCTATAACAGTCTCTATTATATAACTAATCTTAGTCTGGCATAAGAAATGCAACAGGCAATCTAACTCTTGCCTAAGGTATAATAGATTCCCACTTTCTTTTATTAATGGTAGTCTTATTAATGGACTTACTTTTGGAGAAGACTGCTTAACTGTTCTGTTAAGCAATAATGGAGAGCGTAAGTCTGCTGGGAGCTTTAAGTAAGCTGGAAAGACTTTAAGTATAATGAAAATAATTTAGCTAATTGTATAGTTAATAATCCCGAATAGCTGTAATAAAGCTATTAAGGAATGTATGATAATATTACAGCAACTGTAGGCTGTAATACCTTAAGCAATAGTCTGGCCTGCCTGCGAACTATCCCTTATAAAACCTTACATTAAGCGTGTATTGGATTCCGCTAAACATTAATTATAATAGCGAATTGATATTATAATTACTGTCTTAGTTTATTTAAAAAGAAAAAATAGCCAATGTTGCTATTATTATAGGTAGTAATTTTAATAAAGGAACCGCAGTTTTCCTAGGACCTTATATGTAACGATCCGTTATACCGTTAAGCCAAACAGGGCAAAAGATTAGGCCAATAATCACTATTGTAGCAATTACTGTAACGGAACCAGCGTCTTATAAGGGATCTATCTGTTACGGTGAACCAGGCCGTGACATTATATAAAGCAATAACATAACCATAGCCTCCTAAAATCAATAGCTTAGTAATATTAGCGGATTTTTTTCAAAAAAAAATTAACAGTTAGTTATAAGGTTATTTTAATCTATTACCAGGCTTTATGCGGAATGATAGGATAGAATAACAGGGATAGGGAAAGTCACTAACGCCAAGAAGCCATTAGAACTAATATATCTTGGATTAGATATACTCAAAATGTGAAAAGGGTACCCAAACCAGCTGTATCAACCGGCATGAATGCTATTAATAATGCGCTAAAGTCGTCCGTTCCGCTGACCTCGCTTGCTGTGACGGACCGTACGCTAGATAGTTAGTAATATGTGTCACAACGTAGTTCACTGTGACAGATAGATCCCTTATAAAACGCTGGTTCCGTTACAGTAATTGCTACAATAGTGATTATTGGCCTAATCTTTTGCCCTGTTTGGCTCAACGGTATAACGGATCGTTACAATATGAGAGAATTCTAAGAGATAAACCTAAAGTACTGTTTTAGGTTTATGTTAGCGGAGCGGTTAGGAAATTTAATAGGTAATGTAAGTAATGGTAAATAAATGTTACTAGAGAGTAAGTAGTATAAAGCATATTATAATTTTAATTTTATATTAATAATTAGCTATTTAAGTTATTTAAATAAGTATAGAGAAGTAAACTTATATATAATTTCAATAGCTTATTTAGCTTATTAGATAAGTGTATTAATGTGACGATCCGGTCCCTAGATCCTAAGTTATCGTTATAGGGTAGGGAACTCCCAAGGGATAGATGCGTATGTCTATGTTGGCAGATGGGATAGGATATCCGTTATTGAGCACGTTGCGTAGTCACGTAGTTGGTAGATAGAGTATGACCTGTATCTGGTACTATTGTGTTGTTAACGACTGACTATCTAAGCTATCTAATGAGTGTATCTTGAGCGTCTTATATAGTAAGTCGTTCCGTGAGGTCGACCAAGGTCGACGTCGGCTTTCGTCGACTTGTTTCGTAGGTCGCTCAAGGTCGACAGCGGCCTGTGTCGACTTTCGTTTGATTGGTCCTTCGGTCCGTTCCTAATCCGTGGTACGTACCGTTACGATGCGTTGGGTCGTAACAGCTTAAAGAAGAAATAAAAGTAATAAAGGAAAAAAAATAAGTAAAAGCTTAAGTGCCTGTATTAAACTAATAAAATGGTCAAATATCTTTAAAAATAAAAGAAATTATAGTATTATAAAATAATATATACTATTATATAAGGTATTAATAATATAAAGGGTTAAATCATATTGAGTAAGAAGAGGTAAAAAAGGAAAGTATAAAGGCCTTTAATTAGGCTTATTTAAGGCCTAGTATAACATCCTAGTGTAATATCCTGGCCTATACTATTATACTTAGGTATAAGGTAAATTCCCACTTGCGTCCCATGTCACGGATCGACTTTGCCTTGTCGCGATCAGTCGCGATCATGATCGACCCGTCATACACGAAACAATTTCGCATCACTTGTAACCCATCGCAGTGCCTCATTGTGCTCAGCTCCGGTCCACGCCCGGGCATTCCGCTCCAGACGTGACATACGACCGCGAGCAGTCCTTTCAAAGCCCGCAGGTTACCTAGCCACGTCGTAACCCCTTTGCTCTTCCACGAGTTCGTCCTTGTGTCGAAGAGCATCGACTGTGCGGCTTTGATGGCTAGCTCCGGACCACTGCGAAGCCATGCGTTGGCCTTGTTCGTGGCGAATGATTGTCCGAACCCAAGATATGTCATGTCATCTTGGATGCTCTGCAGATCGATGTTGGGCCCAATAGTCGACCACTGGCTCCCGAACAATATTCCCATGACGTGATCGACGCGCAGCTTGACTCGGTAAGCTGCTCGCTGAAACTCGTGGATGCGTACGCGATCCCCGTTATGTATGAGCGTCTCGTAGTCATCCGTCCATCGCACGCTTGGCGAAGCCAGAGTCTTGTTTCGATGCCCTTTGCCATATGCCATCCATCTGATCATGGTCCCAACCACCGTGAAGCCGTCGACACACAGCCACTTGGCGTGCTGCTCTGTGAACCACTCCATCTTTTCCACCGGGATATCCTCTATATCCCGCGGCATGTCTTGGAAAGAGTGCTCTAGAAAAACAAGTCGTAAGATCCATAGCATTGCCGCCACCGTTCCCGTAAACACCCTGGCGGGTTGAAATCCATCTCCGCCTGCCCTGATGGCCGTGGCCGCAAAGAAGCACACCAATGCGTTTGTGTACATGGCGCCGCCAACTTTTGTCCTGATGGATGCCATGATGAACGAAAACATGATCCTATCCAGTTCGTCGTAGTCGGGTGGCTGTGCCATATTGGGTTGACTGCTTCGTATGCAGCCATCCATATCGCTGTCATACTCATCTTAGCCTTCGCTGCTGTGGGATTCACCATCGTCAATGCCTCTTAATGCGTGATTCATGTCGCATAGCAAGCCCCATTGCTCATCCGTGAACCGCATCCCAAGCTTGTTTGCTACCTCTTCACTTCCAAGTCGGTACGCTCGCCAGCAGAAACAAATATATCGTTGGCATACGATGCCGTATTTTCGTAGCGTATCGGGATCGTCGCTCATCTTGAACGGTATCGGGTTGCTTTTGCCTTCTTCAATCCCGTGTAGCCGTTGTCGGATGGGCTTGGGAACGGCATATATGCGTGGCTCGCATCGCTTGATTTCACGCTTGACACTGTCGCAGAGCATCGTAAGTCGCGTCGTCTGCTCAGCAGCTTCTTGCTGTGCTTCTTGCGCGGACTCGTTCATCGCCTTGGCATTAACCCATCTCGTGGCTGCCGCAATCGCAGCCCGATCCTTTCCTTCGGTAAACTCGACCCAACGCATGTCCTTGACGAACTCGTTGTCGTAGTCTGCACCTCGTTGCGCCTGTCCGGCCCGCTGCCACTGCTCGTTGGACTCATGCATTCGCTTCACTCCCGTCCGCAGGTTTCGCTCTAGCATGCTTAGACTTCTCTCGTTGCCTGCTTTATCCCGTGCGTCAATATCAATGGCCGGGTCATACCCTGTACTGCCCACTGTCCAGTATCTTGCGAATTTTCCACTCATCCATGACTGAACACGGACTTGCGGGTAACGACGACCTTCTAGCTTATGCGCTGCACTTCTCCAGTGGGTGTTGGCTATTTTTTCAGACGTGGTGATGAACGGGCATGCTCTGCACTTGAACCCATCCTCAACCGGGATTACTGGTTGCCGTGGCCCACCATTTTCCGGTAGTTGGATGGTCTTTGGATCGTTCGCCTGTCCTAAAGCCAAGCAGTCTTTGATACTCTGTAGAATAGTACCTGAAGCTTGATGCTTGTTTCGCAGATGATCGATTGCTCCATTGCCCGGCGTTAATGCACGTTTGCACTCAAGACAAATCACTAGATTATAAGTTCCGTTTATTTGAATAAGCTTATCCATTATTTCTTTGGTTTTAGATAGACTATTGTAGTAAACTGCTACAGCCTTTTTTATCTTTTTATTTTTCTATCCTTTTTCTTATGCCTTAATGTGTTGCTCTAATCTATGCTTTGAATTATACTCTGACCTCGACTCTGACCTCGACTCTGACCCTGGCCCGGAAATCAGTCTGAAGAATTTAAAGTGGAAAACCCTAACCCTTAAACCCCACTCTAATTAAACTTAAAAGGTATTCAGTTTGATTTCCTTTGCAGTAGTGGCCTAGGTTCTGACAGACTAAGGCTACCTAGAGGAAGGTGTCATTAGAATTAGAGGATAAGTGGTGCTGAACAGTATAATTTTTTCTAGGCATCGTATCTCCTGTTCTTCGCTAACTGTTGGACTTGGTGCTCGGTATACGCATTGACGGCTGCAGAGATGGACTTTTCGTTGAGCTCTAGACACAGCCTCATATGCTGAGTGGCAGAATCAAGTAGTTCCTGAATAGCTGGCCAGTTGCGGCTGGACATTATTCATTCAACCCGAGAAAAGAGGGCGGACTTCGTGCTGATAAAGTCGAGTAGCTTTGGTAGGTCGATCACGCATTCGTCAAATGCGTCGATGATCACATAAGTCCGCTCCAGGCTTGCAACTTCTAAGATATTCGAGAATATCTCCGATAATGCGGACCATGCTTTTACATCTTTCAAAAGCACCTCAACCCCATGTTTATACTTTTTTATATGTGGGAGACGAGCAGCGGCTGCTGCTCCACAACCAGGTAGATGAAGCCTCGCAGGACGGTCGTAGCGCTGTTGATGCGCTTGTCGGCGGCTTGACAGAAGAATTAGGATGGAAGTGTGTTGGCTTTCTGGTCCTCTAATCTCATTTGGGGGCTTAATTCATTCACAATACCGCAGAGCAACATCGTCTTGCCCTTGCCGGGATCGCCCTTGATCCAGAGCAGGCGGCTGCGTTCGTCGTCGCGCCATTGTCGGAAATCGCTATGGTCGAGGATCTAGCGGTATGAATCTTAAATAGGCCGCCCTTTGGCCTCAATGCGAGTTTTGTCGTCGCGGGGGTCCGTTGTACGTAAGTCCGTGAGGCATTTTGCATCATTGACATTGGGCGAGTTGTAACGGACATCACCCTGGAGGATTGTGGCATCTTTGCCAGCGATATTGCCATCAATGCTGTGCGAGATTGGCACCGCTGGACCCATTGTGGTCAAAATGTTCCAAGAGACTAAATCCTATAACGCGAAATAAGATCTTCAGAAGCAAATACACTCCTCATTACACAGTACTGTTTGCTGTGGCTATGGCCTTGGTCGCTCTGTGTATGCTGGTCACTCCTCTTACGTGGTGGGTTACGCGAAACACAGAAAGAGACACCGGGACACTTAAAATGGCGCGCGAAGCTGCTGAAGCCAGGAATAAGACGATTTTAGAAGATGTGGTTGATAGAGACTTGCGCTAGGAGTACTGTACAGTTGCCATAATCAAGATTGGCGAATGGATATGGCTCTATCTTCTAGGCTAATCACTTGATCTTCATTGCAGCCTTGATGAAGGGTTTTGCATTCGAATTGTGTACTTCTATTCAGGTTCTAAATATGAACAACTGAACTTGATGATAAGCCACACATTAACATAGAGAATACTTTTCGCTGCCTAATTGCACTCGCCCTTAAATGTTCCATGCAGTGCACCACTTTCGTAACAGCTCTGTATCAATAGGCTTCAATGCTGCGGCGGTTAAGCTTTTAGAGATTGTTCTCTTCATGTCAAACACAACAGGCGCCTCTCCGGCTGCCTCCTTTTCTCTGAACCCGCGATAAGTGTCGAGAAGTTTGACGGCGGGGTTTTTATCCAGATTTTGTTCGTCAGAAGCGCTGGCTTCCAAGAGCGCAACCCATTCGCTTAGGCTTGAGAACTCTCTAATGCGTCCACCATAAAATTCTTTCAGAAAGCTGGCTACTTCAGACCATTGCACTTTTGCCGGGTTCTGCGCGTGGAAATAACCATAATCTCAGCAATGGGAGCTGATTTTGTTATTCCAGCCACATCAAGGATGATTCCAGAAACGTCTTCTGTCGGGACCTAGTCAACATTTTGAAATGGACCTAGATGGCTTGGAAGGACTCCGAGATAAACTGAGCTAGCAATCAAGCTTGGTACAAACTCATGCGGATTCCAGACACCCGCCCCTTTGTTCGGACCAGCAATTTGCCCGACTCTCACAGACACCGTGGCTAAGCCTGACTGTGCCGCCGCGGCGTCCAGGATGAAGCTGCCTGCGAGTTTCGACAACCCATATCCCATTTCTGCCAAGTTTGGATCATCAAGTCGCCTCTCAGGCACAGGCTCACTAGAAGTCCAATTATTTGCGGTGCCTATACTTGATACGAACACTACAGCAGCTTTCTTGGGCGAAGCGCCAGCAAATTCAACAAAATGGCGGACCCCGCGGATGAATGGCTCAAAGGAAGCGATTGGCATATTGAAATTGACTGGCCAAGCGTTGTGGACTATTCTGTCCACCGAAGACAGCATTTCTGCATACTTCGCAGGATCAAGCCCGAAATTAGGCTTTGATAGGTCTGAGCCCAAAAATTCGACTTTTGAGAAATCTTTGGTCAAAGTACGGTTCGCATTGATATCCTCTTGCCTGGAACGACCTCCATCAGCACCGCGGTTGAGTGCGTACACTTTGCTCACGCGAGGTGAGTTGATAAGCTGGTCTAGCATATAGCTACCTAAAGAGCCTGTTGAGCCTGTCAAGATGACTGTTTGGGCATTTTCATTTGGGTCTTTTTGGGCATCATTGCGTTCCGGGAGATTACTGGTATATTTGGCGACAATATCCTCCATGGCTTTAACTTGCTGGGCACTAAACTCTGCCTCGGCTGAGTCGCCACTCTCTCCATCAGATTTGGATATTGATCGGAAGATGTAGCTGGAAAGAAGCTCGATTGAAGGGTTGGCATAGATGGAGCGAGTTGCGATAATGTTAGGATCGAACTCAATCCCTAACTTTTCAAGCCCCTCTTGCAGCATTTTAGCCATGGTAATAACCTGTAATGAGTCGACTCCGTGACTAAAAAAGTCCGTATTTTGCTCAAGCTGTTCAACGCCAAGCTTGTCTTGCAGCAGCTCTCTGATAGATAACACCAAAGCTTGCTGGCTGCTGAGATCTAAATTTACATTGTTCACAACAGCGTCTGCTTGCAGGTAGATACTGTCGATGTAGTCTTTATACAAATGGACGGTTTGAGTCCTTTGCACAGTGCCTTTGCCGGCCAGCAAAAACGGCAGGTTGGGGTCCGAAATGGCTACCAGCTGTCGAACAATACGACCGTGCGCAACTGTTTGCTTATTAGCTTGCTCAATGAGAGGCCAGACATCGTTAATCAGGGCTTCTGCCTCTGCGTCGCTCTTTAAGGGGTTCTTCGGGTCCAATATGATGGCTGGCTGGAACTTTTGCTGTCCGACAACCAGGACGTGCTTAAGAGCTGGATGAGCAACGACTATGTCCTCTATGGTCACTGGATTCAGCTTCTCTCCGTTTGAGAAGACGATGACATCATCTCCTCGCCCATAGTACTTGAAGTTGTTGGGCAAGGATTCGTGAGCCTGGAACAAGTCTCCGGTAAGGAATTCATTCTTTTCTGGAAAGTTGTTAAAGACAGATTGGAGACAAGCGTCACGTGGGTTGCGACGTATTTTGAACCCATAAACCCCCTCCCACGCTGTTGGAATCATTTCGGCTCCTATAAGTTCGGGGTTGAACACGAAATACTGCCAAAGGCGGGGGTTTGTCTGCTCTTGTAGAGCCAGAGGGAAGGTCCTAGAGATTATTGGTTAACGACTATTAGCTTAACAAGTTAGATTGAGTGATAAACTTACTCGCTGGCTCCATAAACGTTTATTATGTATGCTCCATTGTCCACGAGCTTGTCGCCCACTGGCCCGGACAGACTGCCACCTCCAAAGGAGATGAAGCCGAGCTTTCCTAACGCTTTTATACCAGCTTCAGTGGAAGAAATATCCTCAATCACCGAGGGGGGCAGAAGAGCTCCATCAACTCCAGCATGAGACAAGCACTGCAACACCAGCTCGGCGTTTAATGGCTTCTCCGGTATGTTCAAGGCACAAGGTATCTGGTCATTGACAGCGAGCATCATGAGCATTTCCAGTCCCGCTGCATGAAATAACGGCATAGGATTGAATACTCTTGTTGACCGAGAAGCCCATGCATTGTATAAAGAAGGATTATTGTGCTGGTCGCTGATATTGCGAAGCTTGCCAAGAAGCTGGAGATTCGCTTGGCTTATGACTATAGGCTTAGGAATTCCAGTTGATCCGCTGGTATGAAGAGCGATCCATGGATGTGACCGAGTCTCATGGGCCGAATAATTGTACAGGAAAGGATTAGACGTAGCTTCGAGCCATTCCTTGGCACTAGGAACTTGGGTTATTTGCAGCTGTCGCTGTGCAAGAATCTTCTGGATAACTGGCAAGTATCCTTCTCCGTACCAAAAATAGCGGCAGTCGGTAGCCTTCAAGAGAGAGACTTGGCCTTCAATGGTGTTTCGAGGAGATGGTAGAAAGGGTTGACATTTTGCTTTCATACAGGCCAGCATGAAGATGATATATCGCACATCATTTGGGCCGATGTAGCCAACTGTCGGGAAGTCATCCTTACGGGCGTCGTTAGCGACCATTTGTGCAATGGTATGAGCAACATGATTGACAGCGTTTGTTAGCTGTTTATATGTGACTGGCTCCCATCCGTCTTGAGGTTGTGTTGATCGGGGTACGAAGACGAAGGGGCGGTTGGGGTCACTCGCAGCATCATCCTCAATAATGTTGATGATGCAGCGAGTCTCTTCAAGTGTTGCGACGGAACCCATATTAGATGTAGTTGCTCTTTGTAAAGGAGAATTTTATAGAATCTAGGGCTGCACTTTGTAGAATGTAGTTGCTGCTCTTTGTATAAAGTATGAGATGACTATGTCCAAATTAAGATTGTAGTTGGCTGCTCTTGGTAAAAGAGATGGTTATAATAGGAATGACCGCTCTGGTGGTATTTCTCCCCTTTTCATCCTCGACCGGATATTTACATTATATTCTCGCGTGTAAAACGTGTGTGATCCTATCACTAACATACATCCCGAGGAAGCTTCCCGTGCCTATTCCTATATGACGTATCATCCACTATCCACGGCGAATCCGGGCCACCAACTGAGCCAACCCCACTCAACGCCCGACCAAATGCTACCTCCTTCTCTTGGAACTCTACACAACGCAGTTGAGAGTCAGTGATTCCATCGCCGAGACCGCTTGGTGAATTATTTGTCCGTGGACGCCGCTAGCAGGGATCGCTGATCAGACCTCGGAATACAGCAAACTGGCAGAGCTCATGGAGTAGACATTATATTATAACCACAAAGGAGATCGTAAAATACTGTTACAATGGCAGTCTGGATAAATGCAATGCTGATCAGTGTCTGAAGTTGCTACGACCTCTATGGCTTCCTGCATTTTGTCCGCGGGCCCAGGTCCGACTCGGATGCAGAGAAGCCATCGAGCCGCCAAAATGGTGCTTCCAGCGAGTCTCCAGCGCAGATCTACAGAGCATCGTGGATTGCTGGCTGCTGCCGGCGGGGGAGAATTTCCTGCTTGCACGGCTAGATCCGATGTCGAGCAGCCGCTGAGCGCCACCAGATTGACCCCTTAATGTGGCATTTTTTAGGGAGACTAGAAGCCTGTAGCCACTGTGATTTTTGTCTGAGAACGAACTGCCGCCTGCTAGCTGGGTACAAGTACCGTGACCATCTAAATATATTGGCATTGCGAAATATCACCGATTTCACTCGTGTAGTACTTTTCCAATCGCACAAGCTTGTTAAAAGCTTCAAAGCTTTGAGAAGAAGGTGGCGCCTTTGCTCCGTATTACTATATACTGAGTATTAAACGCCGTCATAATGCATACAACATCTGCAACTGTGACGTTGATTGTCCCGCAGATAGGTCCGGTCTCTGCGTAAGACAAACTCCACATTAACCCTTCAAAAAAACAGCATCCTTTGCGTCTCCACTATTAAAGTCACGCGGCTGATCTCTCAGCTGAATTCGAAGCAAAAACCTCGGAAGAAATTACGCTTTAGTCTCTTGGATAATAGCACAATGAATGAACGTTGCAAATCCTATCGCCAAGATGTCGCGTAATCCGAGGCCTTTACTGCGCGAAAACCAGCGACTTTTTTTATGTTTCTTTTGGGAAAAGTTCCATAGTATCCAGCGCCCTAGTTCTCTGATCCATCGCTCTAAATATACTATAAGGTACTACTGCTACTGCTACTACATAAGAATTGAGAAGTAGACAACTTTGCTTCACATATAGACTGGCTGCCTTGTTGACCTACACTGGATTATTGTATATTAGAACTGGCCAAGAAGTTTTATGATATATTGTTGTGGCATCATGCCCATCCGTGAACGAGACCTACCTAAGCAGGTATACAAAGGTTGCATGCAATTCCATATTGCACCACTACTTATCCTAACAAGCTTCTCAGCTCAAATACTTGCTGCACCATGATTTGTCAACTTATTATACTTTCTCAGATTCAGCTGGTTGAAGATGTACTGACTTCTTGTCGCCTCTTTTTAGCGAAATAATGACACCACATAGTATAACTAAGGTTTCTGCAATCATAAACATCCATTCTAAAGAAACCAGCAGTCGGCGGGCTCTTGGGGGGGCTTTGTTGCTCTGCAGGGTGCCATAGCCGGCTTGAGAATGTAAACAGAATACAGCCCTGCACATGGACCATACTCCATCATCCACTACAGCAAAACTACTATTACATTTTGAAGCGGTGAACAACGAATGAATCGCCTGGTGGCAGTTCTTCACTTTCTCACCGGCCTATATTTACCTCTGTTTACAACACCGATCCTCAGCTCACAGACCACCAAGATGGACGTACTCGAGACCAACAAAGCGTTTGAAGACGTCGGCGGAGAGTACCAATTCATGGGCACTCTCGTAGTCCATCGAGATGATGGCGGTATACCACGGATTTTTGAAAGCTCGCTATACGACACCATTAGAGTTCAGGCGAGAGCATCCTTCTCACAAGTTCTAATTCCTGTCTCTGCCTATATGCCTCTCTTTCCCAGTAGTTATTCCAGAGCTCCTGATCCTCTACCGAGCAATATCTTTGTCAAGCAGCCTTCGTTGATCTCCTACGATCGATATCATCAGGAGCCTCAAACAAATTGCATTGCAGACGGCGTGCTCAGAGAGGCAGCCAATTTGCGAGCTTCTTCGACAAAACCCACATTCCAATATTGCTGAATACATTGGTTGCCAAGTTGCCGATGGCAAAATTATGAGCAAATGCTTTGCAAAGTACGACTAAACTTTGATGCAAGCTGCCAACCCTCAAAATTACTGGAAGAGAATGTTTTGAGCAAACCGACAGGACCTAAAAATCTATCTCCACGTCTTGGGAGGAGTCGAGAATGGAGTTCGGCACCTTCATGAACTAGGAATTGTCTACAACGACATTAATCCGAGCAATGTTATGCTCAACGGCAGTGTACCAGTAATTATTGACTTTGGATCTTGTCAGGAGGAGGAAGAGAATTTGGAAGGCATTGGTCGTACTTATGAAGGGTTGGATAAGACGGTTCAATCTGTTCCTAAGAATGACTTTGAGGCGTTGGAATAAATCCGGATATGGTTGGCCGACGATTTGAAGGATTTTCAATTTTATGAGTAATAGGCAAATGTTTTGAACGTGGCTGGATTAGGCAAAAGGGATACAGGTTTTCACACTACCGAGGATGAGGATCTATTAGAAGAAATGGATTTGATCGTCAAAATGGAAAAGAAGCACGCTAAGAAGAAACAATGGGTGCCTGTCATACACGGACTTATAGCTCATCTACAATCTCCTCTTACCGATCCACCCGTGTTAATGAGCTTCTATTTTCCACCACCCATTCTTTCAGCCACGCCTTGACAAATTATGTACTCAGATTGGTTACGTCTAGTAGGCAAATCTGCCCCTCTCGTCTAACACATGAAGCAGGGAGGGCGAGGCAAACGTGAACAATAACGCTTCTTCCCATCACGGGTGACTCAAAAGAGTCGAATCGACAATCTAGATATGGCTTCTAGGCTGTAAACGGTTCCGATGTCCCCAATACCTGGCCATCATCCCCCAGCGCGACGGCAAGAAGCATCTGTGACGTGGTGGCATTAACAATAGCCGTTGTTTCGAAACCCGATTTTGGGACATTTGTAAGTTTTAGAGAAATTCCATTGTCTGTCAGCGCTTTAACAACCCAGCTGACAACCTCCGTGGCGCCATTCCAACTCATAAAGACGGCCATGGAACCATTGTCCAGAGCTTCAGCAACTCCCTTGGGAGGATTTGCCGGCTTACCAGTCCATTCCGTATACTTGTAGGCGCGGAAAGACCCGGGACTATCAAATCCATAGCGGAGGTTCCAGACTTGTTCGCCAGTTGGGTCAAACTCAGCCAGTGCCGGGAACGTCGCTTCGCCAACAAAGACATTTCCATTGGGCTGGTCCTGCCATGACCCCAGTCCGATAGCACGAACAGTATCGTTGCTGAATAAGCGCCGTTCCAATTTAGCTGTCATGTCGTTCGTGTTCAATCGCAGCTCTAGGGCTGAAGACTCAACGTCTTGACTGGGCGGCGGGACATCGTAATTTTCGTTATCGAACATAGTTACGATAATAGACCCGTCATCATCCCGATGGGCAAGAACGTCGTGCTGGTATCTGAAATGCGCGTCTGTGGGGAGAGAGAAATCCTGTCCAATTTCGCCCTGGGGGAGATGTTAATTATGCCCTGGTCATGTCTTAAGGATCTGTCAAAGCTCACATTCAACCGGTATGTCACCTCTCCATCCTTGTCAATAAAGACCACGGTTGAGAAATGGCGGGCTGAGATGACGTATCCATCTTCAAATGGAGCAACAGCATTGATATGGAAGTACTGCGACTTGTAATTAAAGGGTTGTACTACATCGGTAATTTGAAAGCCCACTTACATCCCATGCCAGCTCCGGCGAAATGCCAAGCTCTTGACCCATTCGGTTCTGTCTGAGAATTCTAGAGTCGTTAACGGGCAGCTTGTCCAAATGTTCGAGACTGGACCACTTGAACGAAATCTCCTCTGTGAATGGATTTACGACCAGAAACTGACTGTCTGTTACCCATCCATCTTGGGGACCGCCAACGGCGGACAAATCCGTCTGAGTATAGTTGTGAGTTGTCACTATGAATCTGTCATCAGACAAGCGTCGTGACTCATGGAGGTCGACTTTGCAATCCGACTCCGTGGCACCAGGTATGAATGTAGGATAATCTGCCAAGCAGATGACAGTTGTCACCGTGTATGTAGAATCAATAAAAGTTACGTTTCCGAGCTGAGATTGAACATTCAGCTTAGCCCAGCTATTTCCCTTAAACGATTGGAAGGGACTTTGACTCACTGCCTGCTCCATATTCGGTCCAAAATGGCCCAGGTAGTAGGATAATAGCGTCCCATTGCTGAAGAATTGCGGCCTGAAGTTCGCAAAGAAGTCGGGCTCGTCTGGCAGATAATTCGGCCCATGGAAGACGACTTCGCCGTCCTGACTAGCAATAAGTGGTGTAAGCTCCGATGTTGAAGGCGCTCCGAGACCCTGCTGAGGGAAGAAAAGAGCAGGCGAAAACCAGATCAGCCCGGGTGCTGTTGGCCCAGTTTGGTTGACATCAAGCTCTGGGCTCGTGAAAGGTTCGGTCTTGTACGAGACCGACGGCCAAGGAGTGGCAGCAGCAGCAGTAGTTGTCGTTAGCGGCGATTGTCTTGCAGCCTGACGACTCTCTACAAGACCTGAGGCTGCACCGACCAGTAGACCCAACGATTCATATTTCATTTTTTCTTTTTCGAAATCTTCCTTTATTTTCTCCTTGAGAAAGTCGGGCAAGAGAATATTTGCTACCTGAAAATAAGACAAGATTCTGAACAGTTGAAGAGATGAGGCAAGTTGTGAGCATTGCCCCTATGAGTTATATCTGCCCAGGGCTCAGAGCTATTCCCCTCGATTGTCTTGTTGGATATTCTTGGTGCATATATTTTTTCGGGAGTCGGGAGGATTGTTAGGCAGGTGCAAGGTTGCAGTATGATTCCAAAAACTGGGGTGAGCATTTTTCCAAACGTCTCCGCTTAATGTCTCGGCTTATGCATACAGGTGCAAGGATGCAGTATGATTCCAAATAACTGGGGCGATGGCAATGTTTCTAAGACATCTCCGCTTAATGTCTCAGCTCGTGCATACCGGTTGTTGTTGTTGTTGTTGTTGTTGTAATATTAACGACCATAAGTATCTAGTTAACTAAATACACACGTCCCATTATAGGGCAATAGGTCGGTAGGAGCCAGTTTCCGTCTTAATCACCTCCACGTGGTCTTGTTCCTTCGAGACCGGCCTAGCTAGACAGCAAGCTTATCAACCAATAGCCGGAGGTGTTGACCCCTGTTCGCTACGTTTCAGAAATTTTTATGCTAGGCATAAGGGAAAAAACCCCTCTTAGGAGGGGAAAAACCTAGTGTTGTCTTTAGGCTAGGTAGCCTATTGTTGCTGTAGGACCTGGATAACCTGGATAACCTGGATAACCTAAGCGTTGTGTCTTCACAAGCCGAGGCTTGCTTATTGATTGTGTCTTATGGGAAAAATTAGCTGGAAAGGGTGCCCCGGCCGGATTCGAACCGACTGCCTTATGCGATGAGCGCGCATAAGGCCTGCCAGACGCTTAGCCATTGCGTCACGAGGGCCGTGCATACCGGTAGGCCAGAAGCCGGTAACGAGAAATTTTTCGATTATATGTGCAAATCGATAAAAAAGGAGGTCACAAATTTGAGCTGACTGATCTTACCCAATTGGATGCGCTTCCGCGGTGTAGATAGATCCATGAGCTACGATGAAGACGATAAGATGAAATTGTGAGCAACAAATCAAAGCAGACAAATGGGGAACTACATTGCGTAACTAGACAGCCTAATCGAGATTCCAATAAGTGGCCATGTGACGACCCAACATAATAGACCATATATGGAGGGACTGTCCCACTTATCGTGGCACGGATCCATACTTTCGGGTGTAGGGTAGTCGATTCGCAGATTTATGCTTCTAGAGCTAGGATGGGGCGTATGCGGTATTGAGCAATCTTGTCACGAAACGCAGTGGTTATTGTAGAACAGAGCGTACCATGGTTACTGAAATTTGATTGTTTGTTCTATTAACGATTGACTAGACTATCCTCAAGCGACCGTATAGAATAGTATATATATAATATGAAGCTCACTTGAGCTCACTGTCATCTCACTTTCCCAAAGTGAGTCGTTCCCATGATTGGTCGTTCCTCCCCGGGGTTCGTCTAGTAGCCTGGTTGTACAGCTAATGTGAGTCATAGAGTCTTGTCATGAAAAGTGGGTCAAGGCAGTATTTACGAGCTACTTAGGCTGGGTCGCCTGACAGCTCAGAGACGGGATAGAATCACTCAATATATTAATGTAAAAGTGAAAGGCTGAAGAACCAGAGCATAAACAATATATGAATTTAATAGAGACGACAACCGGAATAGTATACCCCGATTAATTACCAGACAATCCCACTGACACCTCTTCTCATTCAAATCTTGCAGAGTTGCCCATCGGGTCTCATTATCCAGAATTCCGACCCAACACAGGGATGGCAAAAGAACACACCTTGCGGATCATAAGTTTGCTTAATTTGCAAAAGTTTTCCATACTTGTCACCCCAGAAGCTATTTTGGAAGTTTGGTTCCATAGGATCGCACTGAAGGGAATTAGAATTTAGTTATAGCCTATGTAAGACAGACTCGGGCAATAACGAACCTCATTTAAATAGACACCTGTATGTGGTGCTAGTCGGCGTAATGCAGCCATATTCTTGTTAGTAAGCTCAGACGTAACCAGCTCCTTCTGTCTGGCATCTAGAGGGGCCCAACCAACAGGGATCACTACATGTGCTCTTAGTCAGTAACTATTAAATATCCATAGCTTATAGAATATGACGTCTCCTCACAGGTATTTGTTATTGCGCTTCTCCACGCTTTGCTTACAGCGTTGTCGCCACCCCTAGGTTGTGCGTCCCAAACACCCTTTCCCATGAGCATCTCACCAAGGATTATACCTCCAGCTGGAGTAATGGTAGCCTTAAGTGCTTCTTTGATGTCCACCTTGTTCCTGCTAAGGGCCTTTTTGTCGAGAAATCTCCCTCCAATTAAGCCATCCACACCAACTACTTGCAGGCCATCGAAGACGTCCGCGTAACTGCTGAAATCTTGGAACTCTTGAGTCTCCGTCTCAATGGAAATCTGGGAGCTCCATGTGGAATTTTTCAACTGTTGGAGCAGTGGCTCGACCAGCCCGTTTGCTGCAGCTGCAGGTTGATTCATAATGTTAAGGGCCCAGGAGATAATACCTCTGCCCGGACCGAGTTGGAGACTGGCCGCTTGAGATCCAAGAACCCTGGCCCCTGCAGCGGAGCTACTGTTTGGCAAAATGAAATATTGACCAGATAATCCTCCGTCAGCTAGCCGAGGAAGGTCTGAATGAATTAGGGCGGTTGTATCCCAGAAGGCCTCTGAGTCTGCCGTTGCATTGATGGTTAAGACGTGCGTCGTAATACTCAAATTCGGGAAGGTCCGGACTGTGACAGAAGTAACCACTCCAAATGTCCCTGCACTGCCCTAGAAATACACATTTGTTAGCCAAGTAAGCCGGTAGAGTAGCACACAGTGCACTTACACCTCGCAATGCAAAGAAGAGATCCGTGTGTTGGCATTCATTGACAGTCAACAACTTTCCGTCTGCTGTGACAATGTCGAACTCAAGAGCAGCGTCTGCAGCAAGTCCATAGGTAGAGCTCAAAGGTCCATAACCACCGCCAGTTAAAAGTCCAATAACTCCAACGGTTGGAACATCGCCTCCTACAACGGTCAAGTTTTGCTGGGCAGCTGCCGCGTAGATCTCGCCCATCTGCATACCGGCTGCTATTGTCGCGCTTGACAGGCCTAGTGGGGAGCTGCATCCTTGAGGCTGAAAATTTTTATTAAAGGTAATGCCTCGCATATAATGTGTCCAGATTGACAATGAACTAGAGCCGGTTGACCTGCCGAAACAATGTGATTAGCGTTGGCCGGTAAGACTTCTAAGTCGTTCCTACCTCCCAAGAACATCGTGTCCCGTAGCCTTTATTACCAGTCTCACATTCCGCTGCCTGGAAAAGTTCACCGCGCTTTGCACGTCGCTTGCACTTGTGGCATTTACAACAAATATAGGGAAGCCGTCTTTATTGCATGGTGCGTCCGGATCTGGTAGGCAAGAGTCATTGTTGAAATTAGGCCAGTCAACGCTCAATGGATCGTCGGCGTGAAAGACGGAGCTATTCCACTGTGTAGAGACCACGACACACTGAGAAGGGTTAAAGTTGGGCTCATTGCGATGGCAAACAGAAGCCGGCGGCAGGGGATTAAGAAGTTTCCCCGAGATTGTTCGGTTAAGCTGTTCCCAATCTGACGGTGATGGCCATCTTGGAGACTTTGGCGTTACCTTGCAGTCTTGTACGGCTTCCACAACAAGCGCGTGGAACCATGGGAGGCTAAGCCAAGCGGCCTTCATCTTAAATATGCCGGGAATGGCATGCAAAAGAATAATTAAATGATGTAAGAAATATCAAATCTTCTAAACAAAAAAGCCAGAATGTAACGCGTCCTCTGCCATAGTTATATTCCTATGTCAGATACAACTATTAATCATTTAATTTAGGAAAATGATGCAACACCAACCAAAATATGGGGTGATACATAAAACAAGCCGTCTCACGAATCTTACAGATATTGCTAACACTCGCTCCCAGTCCGCTCCGCTATAGATTGGGATAAAGCCACCATGCTCCTCGTAAAGGGCTCAAGGATTGCCATTCTGCCGAGTTACAACGGCATGTCGGTAACGTAAGCTCCGGTTGAGTGGACCCTTAATGCCCAAGCTAATACTCTTGTGGCATGTACTTCGTAGAAGTATTATCGGCAAGAAGGAGAAGAATAGGTAAGATACCTTATTTTACTGCCGAGAATATTTCGGAACGCTTGCTTGTTCGTTGCTGTTGCCATGATGAATCTGGAAACTGTTACTTCGTAGGACTGAGACCTCAGTGCAGTAGCGCTTACTCTGAGACTTCTTCGGCAGAGAGTGCCGAATGTATTTTTCTTATTATGGTAAGCATTTCGACGCTAGATGCTGCCTCGTAGCGTGCGGTTGTGACGGTAGGTTTGGTTTAATTTGGTTTGGTTGGCATTTGCGACCCTAGCCAGCTATATAGCCATAATCCTAATTAGGCGAAAAAGTTGTCCTGAGTTAGGACTAGGCTTGCTGTCTACATTTTCTCGAATTCAAGTTGTTAGTACAGCAATTCTGTTCCCATAACAAAGGAGCTGTCGCGTTGGCATATCCCTTGAGCGGAGCTAAATGGCCCTATTGCTCTGAAATAAAACGGCAAATTTACAATGTCGACTTGCATCACTGACATTATGTAGTTCTCATCACTAGATTCGGGTCGTATACATCCCCAAAGCGGTAGCTGGAGGGAAGTATTTATGGCAATGCAATATCTTGATCATTTTTTTGAAGTAGTAGACATTCGAGAGCTACAGCCTTGGAATTATCCAAGCAGAGCTCCTACCTCGGAACAGGCTGATATAAAACGGACTTCATCCCAACCATCCCAACAACTCACTGTCTCCGGTAGTGTCAAACTTGCGCATTGGTATCCGGCTTTACAAATCAACTCGTCAATGCCAGTACCGTTTGTAATAGTAACCAACCGAAGAAATCCACTACCCACATCAACAGTGAATCCTTGCCTTGCTGGGACTGTAATAGCCTGGCCCCCTCGAATGAGAGTCCATTCCACGTGACCTCTGAACTTTATCTTAAATGTGCCCTCCACAACGCAGAAGCAGTGATCCACTCTTGTGAAGCTTAGCCAACGGTTGAGGAATGGCTGCACTCGGTGAGCATCAGACGTCTCCATAGCAGATATGGAGAACTTCCCTTCGCAGTGGGTTGCTTTTACGCAGGGTCGCGTCATTACTCCACCAAAGATCCATCGAGGGCTGACAGGAAGACGAAGAAAATACGGTTCTACTATTATTGGTATAGTATTCTCCGTTTCTGAAAAACATGTTAAGTCGGGTAGGCGGCAACTACCAGGAACGCAAGTAACCTTTGCATCGACTGACGCAACTTCTCGCTGGCCCGGATGGCTAGAAAAGCAATTGCTGTGAAATTGTCTCATAGCTTGCAAGAGATCGGTCTGGTCCTCCAGCGTCTTAAATCTCAATAATTCTGAATTTGGTGCAAGTGGCTGATAGCCATAAGTAGTTCCCTAATAATACGGTAAGCCAAATCAGCGACAGGCAAACGTTGAGGGAGTATGTCTACTTACTGGAGGAATAAAGGCAAAATCTCCGCCTTGCAAGTGACGGCACGTGTTACCATTCCAAAACTTGAAATGACCACTGCATACTATGTATGCGGTATAAGCCTCTGGATGATGTTGAAGATTTATGACCTCTTCTGGTGAGTCGAATGCAAGATAACGAATAGTCAGTTTCTGACTTATCAGCTTTACAGAGCAGTCTACATAGACTGCATCATCCTTTCGCGGTATCTCGACGTGACAAGCTTCGTAGCTCTTTCGCCACTCCGGTCGCAACGTATGGATAGAGATCGCCATTCGTGAACCAGCCTATAGCGAGCTATATGAGTGACAGTTCAGAATAATGGAGGTTGAAGATAGAGGTCCAAATTTAGTGACCAGTCCTAGTACGTACTCTCGTAAATATTGGGATGGAAATGAGAGCAAAAAGCTAGTCTCCCATACCGCTCGCAAAATTATATTGCGTGTAAACTATTCGAGGCCCTCATAAGAATGACATAGAGGAAGTATGGAGGAAGAAGGAGCGGGCGCGCTGGGCTCGGTAGACTGTACGGCTCGCATAGGCCGCCATCGGGTGAACCCCGGGTGCTCGGGCCAATCACGCGCAAGTGATCGCTGGGGTCTTAGTAATCACTCCCTTGATAACTACGCCAGCAGCAGTAATCGCGGCCGCGATCACTAGCACTTCAGTGAGCACCACCCTGATCATCAGGAAATGTATACATCACTCTTCGCGCCTATTTCTAGGTAGCTGAGACAGTCATTAACAAGAATATCAATAACAATTAGCTACTACTGTACGCTTAGTTCTAAACGCTACTTCTATAATGACCGCTACGGTCGTGATAAGATTGCGCATACGCCCTATCCTCTCTGCCAGCATAAATCTGGGATCACTACCCTGTACCTAGTGCAGGAATCCGGTTCGTCACAACACCACGTACATCCTTCTTACATATCACAAGGTGCACGGACCTTGTTTAAGCCTTTTGCCTTTCTACACAATAATAGCACTAACGACAAACTAGGAGAACACGGCCTAGTTGGTGACCTCTTTTCTTCGACCCACGGGTGTTGCTGTCGCATTAATGAACGTATTTAGCGGACGGACTCGAACATCAAGATGGCAGTGGCAGCCGTACTTCCCACTCGCGACATCGCAATCATCGTCTTCATTCGACCCGCCTTTAGATTCCAACCGCAGGGGCTCGCAAGATGCAAACTTTTCTCCATGTCACAAGCTGGCATTGCAGTTATCCGCCTTGTCGAGGGAGAGAGGCTAATACCCGAGGCTCAATGACTTGCAAACATTGCGGTATACGGTTCGGAGTAAAGTATCAGGACATCAAGAAGACAACAAAAATTAATACCTGAAATTTCCTACTAAAAGTCATGAGCATGTGTCGGTTTCGATTACAGTTTTCTCTCCACCAGTTAGTGCTGGTTTGCTTGTAACTGCAAAATATTCCAAGCGTTACTGAGATGCATCTACCGCTCTACTGGTGCAATTTGAGGTACTCTGCGCTAATTTCAGTTATTCAGCCCGTACTCCTTGATCAGTTTCGATGCCACCATCATGCCCATTTGATATGCCATCGTTTGCGGGTGCGAACTGCAGCCGGTTAGCGAAAGGCTCTTCCTCGGCAGGACGAGTTTCGAAGGGTGTAGGATGAAACGGTTGACTTGCCTTGGTACCAGAGGCACGATGCTCATGTCGGCAACTCTCAATCCATTCACGCCGTATACCTTAAACTCAGGATCTATCACCGCTCGGTCTGCAGATTCGGACTTCCCTATCTTGCAAGTTCCGGTCAAGTGCCAGGTGCTAATCAAGCTCCTCCTCCAGTAGTCCAGAATATCTTCTTCGCTGTCGCTTTTCGGGCACACGTGAGTGGTCCCTGGTACTTTTGATTTTGGTGAGCTGGCATGATCCATGACCCGCATAGCCTCCCGAGTGGCCTCGATTGCCACTCGCTTGTCCCATGGGTGCTCGAGATAACTCGGCCGTACCAGCGGTGGCATAGCCGGGTCCGCAGACGCGAGAGTTACCTCGCCCTTTCCCTGGCTGCTCAGGAGCTCGATAACAAGGATCGAATTTCGTCCGTGGATAGAAGGATGGGTCCTATCGCTGGCACCAAAATGGGCGATTTCAAAAGTAGCCACGGTTGGCTTTTGCAGCCGTCGCTGTATATTTTTGGGAAGCGCCTCAAACTCTGGGCTTCGTAACGCCGTTTCGCTTTTCAGAAATCCCATAATGTTGCCGCCATTCGGAGCCCCGGCTCGGCATATGCTGTCATCTCTGTTGGTGAAGAAGCAGAACATGTGATAGTGGTCTCCCAGGTCCTGGCCGACATTCTTATTGTCATAGACGATTGGGATACCATGACTGGAGAGCTGGGCAGCTGGGCCAATACCAGAGTGTAAGAGTATCTTGGGGCTGTCGACGGAGCCAGCGCAGAGAATAATTTCTTTCGCGGCCCTGATTATTTCGCCGTCCGAAAGTGTGACTGCTTTGGCCTGGCCATCTTCAAACTGGACACGGTAAACCCAGCTTTTAGTCCTAACATGTAGATTCTCGGGCGCATTCTCTAGGAGGTCGGCCGATGTGCTGCGGATACCACCGTAGCCGCTCAGTGGGGCCATGACGATTCCGACGTGGTCACCGTCAGAGCCGTCAGGGTTGATCTTGTAACCGCAAGCTGCCCATGTGTCAGCTGTCTCGGCCATGTCACGAGTCCAGTTGGTAACTGGGCTCGAGATATTGATCCCCCCGGCCGTACCGTACGCCTCCTCTCCGGGGTCGTAGTATCGCTTTTCGCCACTCCTTGGCTCGATTTCATGATGGTAGTTCTCGAGTCTCTTGAAGCGCTCTCGCACATTGGCCCATTGCCAATCGTCATCGCCCACAAGCTCACTAATCTCATCCCATTCGTCCCGAGATCCTCGAAACCAAAATGTGGCGTTGATGGCAGAACAGCCACCGAGCCCCTTGCCTCGATTTAAGTTGATCTGTCTTCCGTAGAGATGCGGCAGATCAACGGTCTTGTGCTCCCAGTTCAGAGACTCTGTCCGCATTTGGACGAGCATGTTGCTGTGCTGGCGGAAGGACACATCGCGGTTGCTGTCCCCTGCCTCTAGAAGTAAGACTCGTGGATGCCCGTCACTTCGCGCCAGGTCAATGGCGGCGGCGCACCCAGCAGGACCCGCGCCAACAATAATGAAGTCGTATCCTTGGTCGTTCTTTGCCATCGCCGACGAACTTTATCTCAGAACAATAAGTGACAACACACTGTGAGTAAGCGGTCAACTTGGGCCGGGTTATTGAGAGAGATCTCTGGAATAAGGATTTCTAAATTTCAAAAACCAGAAAATTCCCTGTCTCATTTGAGTCGTCTGTTATTTCATGCATTTATCTAGCAATACAAGGAACCCCCTGCGATTGGTGCCCTCCTTACCGTCTTGGCCGATGGCATCCTATATTAATAGATACACCCGACAATATTACCTCCCCCCCCTCCCCCAGGGGAATCCCTAGAGACATATTGTTGGATTTCTGATATACTCTAATTCAGCGTTAGTCATGCCTTATTAGTCGCTACTTCCGTAGAATAGTGGAGTAACCAATAGTTCCATACGCAGTGTGAGGACCTTGATATGGAATCAGTCAGGCCGCACTAGCCAAGCTTGGTTGAACTTCCTAAAGTTATTGACAGCCTTAGGTACCAGGCTACTCGGCTCTCCCGCACCCAACCGGTCATAACTGTATAGTGGAGCATGATGAACGAGGAGTAAGCTTACGCCCTAGGCTGGAATAGGAATAATGCATCTACCATTCACTTGGTGTCTGTACAGTACGACTTTACGGAGCAAGCTTACGCCTTCGGCCGGTTGAAGCATAAAACGTCGCACTTTGACGACGTTCAAATGTTAAGTGAAGTCATAACTCCGCTGACACTAGCTACGCAAAGCTATGGTACCGAGTAAGGCATTCTTTGCAGCATTGAGGCTGATGCAAGATGCTAGATGCCAGATGCCAGATAAAATGTCCCCATTTAAGCATGTTTACAGGAACCAGAGCGGCCGCCGACTATAACTATTCGCCGCGCAGCCGATGTCATCGGTATAAGCAAGCAATATCTATCCCACAAGGCAGTTCGCGCTGGCTGCCGGCGGACCAACTATTCAAATTCCTTCCATCCTACTGCCCGTGGGTTCCACTTTTAGTGACCAAGTGTGAGGCCCGAAAAATCGGGACATTTCAATTTATGAGCAATTTGCTGCAATTTGCTGCAATTCTTCCTCTTCAGTTAGAAATTAGACAATAATAGGACGTTGTCACTTGCAGCGCGTCCTCTCTTCTCCCATGGTGCCAGTGTGATCGGGTTGATAGTTTCCCTCTCCTCCATCTCTATATCTTCGAGTGCATCTGCCATCTGTTAGATTGGTTTCCAAGTGAAAACTGACTATTCAGCTGTAAGACTCGGCCAATGCGTTACTGTGATCAAACTTTTAGAGCATTAGCGGCCTAGCTAGCCAAGCGGCCTAGCTAGCCAAGCCGGCCTCACCGCTGACCACCCCGACAGAATCGGACGCCGCCACCGTAGCAGGCGTCGAGGTCCAAACAAAAATTGTCTACCTTCAACTAAGCTGTAGAACGATTATTAGCCAACTAGACCTTGCCAAGTTCCAGAAAGCTAAGCTAATTCGCGACGCTATCCGACGCCACTCCCTTGTTCGTTTGCCTCTATCCCGAAGATGAACTTGTCCGCAAATCGCTTTCCGGAGCTCTTCGAGCAGATTGCTTCCAATTCCACAGTACCCGAACTCACTGCTGCCGTCTCTTTGGCACTAGGGCATGTACCAAAGACCTGTAGCTAAGCTAATTGAGCCGGATGACGCACCTAACGAGACGTACGACGATAATAGGCCGAGCCACACCAAGCCTTCTACCAGTCTTAGCATACTTGACGGAGGGCTAACATATCCGACAGCTGTGGACTGTATGATGCGAACTATGACCCTCATTCGTTTAGGAATTCTCATGCCGAGGCAACTCCCCTCGCTCTGCTCTCTACATCCACACGCTTGTCCATACTTGCTGAAGTATACGACGTGGACAATTTAAAGGTGCTGTCCTTTAGTAAAATCGAACACGAGATGGCGAATCTGATTGATGCTACCGACTTGCGAAAGCTACGCAAGAGGCATATGTCGACATGCATGAGACGTACGCTGCATTAAAGCAAGCTGTTATGAAAGGTTTCCACCAGCACCGGCAACAGCTATTGCCGGATGCAAAAGTCAAAGGGTTACACTCAAATGGCGTACTGGGCTATGATTTTATCGTGTATTTTGATCAGCATGGCGGTTATTAGAGCTACTTCTTGTTCTACATACTATGCTCTACCCTACTAAAGAGTCAAAGAGCTAATAGCCCTCCGTTAACGTTGGGCTTACGATATTTACTTAAGTGCTGCCCTTGCTCGTTACAAGCCACGAGCTTCCCTACGCCCGAACGCTGCCGAAGGGACCTTCCCCATGGGAGGTCAGCTCACTCTTCCAAGATGTGTCCTGCAGCTGACAATCCTGGCGTAAACCGGTATCCACACCATTGCAATTTCGCGTATCATTGCATAGTACTGGCCGATGGCACGGCGTCGGCAGCACTTAGTCCGGATCAAGGAAGGTCCATAATATTAAAACCAGTTTGACTTCTAGTATATATATACACCTCTTTAAGCAGCAGTTATTTTAATCTTCGTACCCTTAACAGAGTTCCAGGGCACAAAAGCCGCGCCAATAGCAGACAAGGTCGCCATGGCGGCAGAGACATAGAAGCTGTTTGTAATAGCATTATTATAGGCCAGAAGCACCATAGGCAAAAAGTCTCTAGAAATTAAAGTCCGGATCTGGGTAGCACCAATGTCAACTACGGTGTTAGGGTCAAGGCCCGCAATATGAGCATCAGCAATGTTGGAAACAAGCTTGTTCTGGAAGACGTTCTGGGCGACGCAAATGAAAAGGGCGCCACCAAGGGTCTGGGAAAAAGTTAATAATGGCAGTACCCATGGCGACATCAGGGCCGTCGAGAGACGCCTGGATGGCAACCATGGTCTGCTGCATACCTAGACCAACGCCGATACCAAAGATGACTTGATAGCCGATCCAGTGGGCTGCGCCAGTATACACGTTCAAGGTGGAGAGCATGCCGGCACCAATGGACATGAGGACGGTTGACGCGATTATAAAGGGGGTGTAATAGCCGACAATTGTGATGAGGCCTCCAGAAATGATAGACAAAATGACGAGCGAAAGTATTAAGGGCAAGTTCTTGATACCGGATTGAATGGCGGTTGTGCCCTTGACGCCCTGGAACCAGATAGGAAGCTAGGAAATCGTCAGTAGGAGGTCAATTAATGCGGTATAAGCCTACGTACGTAGTACGTTATGACGAAAAAACTGGCACCCAAACAGGCACTGAAAATAGCGCAAGACCAAACGGTTCTGTTTACGAACAACCGAGGCGGAACTGTAGCATTTTCCTTCAACCAAATCTGCACTATGACAAAACCTGTGATGAGGACACCAAATATAACGAATAAAGCGATTATTCGACCGTTATTCCAAGGATACTTGGTACCACCCCACTGCAGAGCAAGCAGGAGAGCAATGATTCCGGGTATGAATAAGAACGTACCGAGCAGGTCAAAAGACTTGATCTGCTCCTTAAGAGTGAGCTTTTTCTTGGCAAGCTTGGGCTTGGGGAGCTGCAAGAATAGAATTATAAAAGCAGCGGTAACACCACCTAAGGGCAAGTTGATGTAGAAACACCATCGCCAACTAACGTGATCGGTAAAAACGCCACCCAGTAGAGGACCGGCAACGGACGCGATGCCGTACATGGAACTAATAATACCCATATACATGGAACGCCGGCGCAGCGGAACACTCCAGTTGATGATTAAAAGGGCGCCGCAGTAAACACCAGCTGCACCTAATCCAGCAATGGCTCGACCGAGAATGAGGCCAACAGAGTTAGGCGTAGCACCGCATATGAGCGAACCAAGCTCAAAGAGGAAAAGGGCGAACAGGTAGACCCATTTAACAGAGCAGAAGGTGTAGAGTTTACCAAAGATGAGCTGGACGGCGCAGGTGGTGAGCAGGTAGGCTGAGCCGTACCAACCAACATCATCGACGGCGCGGAATTGATCTGTGATTCGGGGGATGGCAGTTGCGATAATAGTGTTGTCCAATGCCATGCAAAAGACCGACAGGCACAGGGCGATGGAAATCAGGCCCAGCCTCCACGATGAAGGATATTCTGTGTCGTCGTCGTCTTGTGATTTGGGTTTGACGCCTGTGGTTTCAACCACATCGGTTCTCTCCTTGATATCGGCATCCTTTCCTTCAACATCTGTGACAGCGGCTGAGTTTTCGTAGATATCGTCCGGTGTCGCAGTTTTTTCCATTGATCTTGATTTTGCGTCTCTGTGTTCAGATTTTGTCTCAAGTCCCGTGCGTCCGGAGTTCACGGAGGTTAACTCAGTAGAGCTTCTTGGGGTGGCCATCTTGACACGATCCGAAGGCCCGTAGATATAAATATATGGGTGATCCCCTTCGATCAGTTGCTGACAGGTTGACTTGTTGCACTTATTTTGCCAACAGAGAAGATGGAACGATGATTCGAGATTGCACAAACGCTCCAAAGCGAAACCAAGAATCTCCATTCAACGCGGTGCAACCTCCCTTAGATATACCTACCCAGTATTCTCACGATCGAGAGTCCTTCTACAAGGACTTTTTTGCTTTAGCCCCATTGGCCTGGGCAGCAAGGAGAGACTAGACGGGCAAAGCCTGTCTGGAGCCCCATTTCCCGCATTGCATTTCGGACTCGCGGTCTTCTCTGGGATGCCGACACCTCGCACTTCGCGCAAGTCGAGGCCCCGCAGGGATTTGCTAGCCGAAGCTTGCACCTGGGAGGACCTATGGGATCCCCGCTGAAAGGCAGGCCTTGGAATGTGTCGTATGGAATGGTGCATAAGTGCGCACCTTACGACTAGGACAGAGCACGGTGGCACGCTTGCACATCTATCCGTTTTTTACGGTTACTACCTCAGTCGTAATCGCCGAAGCATAGTTGGTCTGAACGCTGCTCGCTGGATGATTAAATTCCCAGCATTTCAGGTCCGATTCAATCGGCCGAATGCATTTCGTTGATTACTCCTTTCTGCCGAATTGGCGCCATATATGGCGGGTTCTGTATACCAAAGCCGCAACGGTCCATCAACCACGAAATCCACATCTGTGGACAATGATACGAAGCTCTATACCAATTCCGTCAGCAATCAATGTTTGTTTGTTTGTTTGTTTGTTTTATTATTAACGTCCACTAAGTAAGCTAGTTACATAAATCCCTTCTGGGCAATAGGACGGTAGGAGCCGCAGGTTCAGAGTCCGCGTTCGCTACGTGTCATACGAAACAAAGGAAAAGTTCTGTGTCAATCTGTGTCAAGTTGTGTCAATCTGTGTCTTGGGGGCCAGGGCCGTAGGGGCTCGTGTCCTCCACTAGTGTCTGAAAATGCTTGTAACCGTCTGGTCCTAATAAGTAGGAGAGGGGGGTGATGCCTGCGCGGAGATCTTTTTCAGGGACTTCCGGCAGGAAGGGGCGGACCATTCTGCATTCCGCAAAGTGGCCTTGTGTTCTTGGCTCCCCGCACTTGCAGGTGGGCCTGGTGTCGTGTCCGAATCTTTCGTGGTACTCGACAAAGTCACCGTGGCCCGATCTCTCCGCGTAGAGCCTATGCAGTATAGCCCTTGGCAGTTGGAGTTCCGGGGGCTTGGCGAGAGCGTCCAGTCGCCAGCGTCTGTAGTATGGCCGTCAGCAATCAATACGGAGTAATTGTAAAAGCATTTTGGCTCTAGATTTTCTAATCTCCTATCTAGTCTAGTCAATTATGCATGCTTGGACTCTGTACTCCCTATACAACTAAGAATGAGTAGTAGTTCCAAATATTCCCTACACAGCCCCTCCCTCTTTCGGCAGTGGTTGGTAAAGTATTCCGTAATTCAAAATAGTTTCTGCATACTACCTCACATGGGTAGCGCGGATGCCTTTGCACCCTAGCAGTAGAGAGGCATAAATGCCAAATGCTGGAAAAGGGGATTTTTATTGGTCATGATTATGAAGCATATCAGCGATAGAAGTGGAACTCATAAATGCCTCCGCTGTTAGCCTCTGTCTGGTCTACACCCTACGAAGTAGATTTATTTTGCTCTTATACGCAACAGCACGCATGAACTAGTCTCGACGCAATGGATGTTGTGGACAAGGCTGGAAAACTCGGCCCGTAGCAATGTCATGTGTCCCGCCTAATGAGAGTTCTAATTCTTCACTTGGTGAAGTCATTCTCGAAGCTTTATCTACGAAAGACTGTAAAGCGTAAAGCACTACGCTATGGAATTGTTATGCAGTGCCACGATGCGCTTCCTCGAAACTTTTTGACTTAGCCAGACTACGATCTACACCTTGGGTTCAGGAGCTATCTGGCATCAAATGCTCAGGCTACAAGTCACAGCTTACCTGGGGTCTTGGTGTTGCTAGCCGCGGCAAGCTTCGTGGGCTGTCTTTGCCAATTGCCAAGGCACCTCCTGTCACCCTTGAGCCGAAGAAATCGCCCTTTTGCGAGCAAGAGACGATTCAAGCGTCACTGTTCTTCCAACAAATTTAGCCCAAAGCACCATTGATGTTACTTTAACTTTACATACAACTTCAACGCCGGCTATTCCGATATACCAAATCCTCACATACAACTGCCTTTCCGTCTCCCACCACAGTCTTTCCCCGTAGATAACGCAGAGCAGCTAGGGCAGCGTCGGCTGTTCTCCTAGTCATTTATATTCATCAGCGGGAACACCGAGATGTGCTAAATTTCCTCATCTAAGCACTGACGCGGTTTCTTCGTGCGAACCGGCTGGGAATGGGGTTGATTACACTTCTCCTCAACCAAACATATGCTCGCGAGAGATTCCATTTAATCAAAACCCAGATATCGTGTATGACGGTCATCCAGCATCGTACAGTTCCCCCATTGCGCAGAGTCCTCTCGCCGTGTTGACCTGTGACCACTATTGCGCGCCAACATCTTATCATGGGCTGGTCTCCGACTCCTCAGAATCTCAATCTGCTCTCAATCATGGAACGCTTGTCGCACCTGAGCCACAATCTTATGTAAACTTATGTAAAGTATGAAAGCCCAAGTTGGTATCATATGGCACTCTATCCAGCCTTTCCTTCTTAAGCGAGTAGAAATCTAAAGTTAATGCCGGCAATGGTGGTTACTCTATGTTACATACACTAAAAGAATGCATGGATAAATCATACACCATACGTTAATATTGTTGCTTAGTTTCTAAAGGACAAGCTCTTTGTTCTGGGTTTCTCCGCGGCCCCATGCTTACTGGACATAGGTCTACCCCGATTACCAGGAGGGGCCATTACTTTCAGTAGATTATCACCAGCTGAGAGAACATTCATCGGGCGAGCTACCTTTCGGTCACAACCAAGTTGATTCCCTCACTGCCAGCAGGTGACGCATACAAAATCCGTCTACTGCACTATTTATGGTTTGACGGAACGATTATGAGAATGTGGCCAGCACTATATTAGTTGATTGGAGTAATGACGCGAGGACCGCAGTAGTTTCTCCCCTTGGGTAAGTCTAAACTCCGACGGGCGATAGTGCCCATTTGCGGCAGCATTTCATCTTCCGGATGACGAAATCTGCCTTGAGGAGCAGGAAAATATAAGAGAAGTTACAGTCATTCATCCGTCATAATGTATGGTCCATGTTACGCGGCACGTTCAGATTCTAAGATGATGAGAGGCCACCGGAAGGCGGCATGCGACTATGGGTAGCATGGGATCCTAGAAATAAAACAAGTTTTATCATCACTGCCCTAGTTAACTCGGCCCGCTAAAAAGGTTCAGCTGAGGTGGCATATTTTCAAGCAAATGTATTGTGCATTAATCAAGTTACTATTTCTTCTCCTGGCAGTAGGGCTATCGGGATACATCTAACCCCGATGGCGAGCGGCAAGTCGGCATGTATTACGACCCGATAGTACTATTACTGTGACGCACCTGCTTGCCTACGCCGGCATACCCTAATGAGAATAAGTAAGAAAATAGAAAGGATGCTTAGGATGCTTAGGATGCTTAGTGAGTTGGGCCCGAGCTTCAAGCCGGCCCAGCTGGTAACTGCACGGCTGATGCCTCGATGCAATGTGCTAAGTTCGAGTGTTCTGTTATGTAAGTAAGGCAAATCGGGAGGAAATTACGGGCTCGCCAACATACAAGCAACTGTGAACTAAACAGTTTCAGGCTAAATGTCAGAAGACTGTTCCTCCCAGCTACACAACTGCAGGTAGTACTCTGAATCTGCCAGCCGGGCAAGATTACATAAACTCAAATTCCATTAGCCAGACTTAACTCAAAGCCTACTAATCGTGCTTATCCACTTGCAGGTAAAAGGAATCAGCTTCTTGACCATCCTCAAAAGGCTCCCGAGTCCTATAGCTTAGTTACGCCCGACTATTGTTACCGAATTGTAATCGGCACACTCGAATGTCATGACACCTATTCTGAGAACCAGCCATAGCTTGAGAATGGAATCATGGAAGGCTTAATTAATGTAGCTACTGGAAGCCTTGGCGGGGAATGTTAGAAAATTCCGCCATCAAGCCGGTTTTGAGCAAGGGAAGCCCCAGGCAACGTCGGAAGGAATCTGATTTTTGCCGTAATAAGTGGGCCTTAGGCAACGTCGGAAGGAATCTGATGCCGTGAAAAGTGGGCCTTAGGCAACGTCGGAAGGAATCTGATTTTTGCCGTAATAAGTGGGCCTTAGGCAACGTCGGAAGGAATCTGATGACGTGTAAGTGGGCTTTAGGCTGAGCCTCCTGGGTGGGTCCTAAAGCAATCGGCTAGGCCGATCCAGATCGGGAGGAATGCCGACACCGCCGCCAAGAACGGCTGTACTAGATTAATGGTGCTGTTAGATGTGGAGCTACAAGCATTGTGTGGATCATAAAATTAATGGGCCGGCTAAATTTTCCTGGGTTGTGGGCCATTCACACTGCAACAATATGCTGTAAGGAAAGTGGTACTTCTGATATAAAATGATGCAGTATGCAAGTTGCATATTTCAAATGTTATATTATAATTGGCTTACAACCCCTGTATAATATTTCTCTAGATTGACCAAGTCCTACCATTAGAGGGTTAGACTAGGCATTATTACAATAAGAAAAGATTCCAAATGCTTGTAGGATGCGAAGTAGGGCCATAGACATTGTTACCCCATGCAATAACTGATTACTCTTCCGGGCTAACGAAATACAGTAAGCATTGCCCCTTTCCTTTTATCACAGCAGACGCAACTATGAATATATATCTGTCTAGAGTTTAGTGCCAATCCTCTTGATTGTCTTGATTGATATTATTAATGTATGTGTTACGACCTAATCCCTCGTAAACAGTTAGATCCCTTATAAGCAGCTGGTTCCGTTACAGTAACTGCGTCTAATCTTTTGCCCTGTATGGCTTAACGGTATAACGGATCGTTACAGTATGTATAATTTTTTCGGGGCCGGGGCTAAGACCCCCCGGGCCAGATCTTGCAAGGTTGCAGTATGACTTTGAAAATTGAAGCGATAATAATATTTCTAAGACATCTTTGTATAGTTTGAAATTACTTAAATATAGCCTTATATTTGAATCTTTATTATGTGATTACATAGTTATATATAAGATTAAAAATTTATAAAATTAAGAATAATATAATTATTATTATTATAATATTCTTTAAACATTCTTCTTAATATTGTTTAATAAAATTCTGATTTAAAAAAAAAACTTTCATTATATAGTATTATTATTTATAATTAAGTTTTAGTGATAAAATATTAAATATTCAATAATAATTTATTTATATTAAAAACCAAAATTAAATTTTTATAATATAAAAGAAATAAAAAATCCTTAATCTAATATAAAGTTATATTTCAAATTATATTTTTAAATAATAATCTTATTAAAATATATAAGTTTATATTTATTTATTCCTAAAAGTAAATAATTTTTTTAATCATATAATTTCGTTTATATTCAGAAATTATAGTTAACATATTATTAAATATAATTATAATAATATTATCATTATATACAATAATAAAGCTAATTAAATATACGCCTACCCTGTAGGCCCATTGTCGCGACCATAGGAGCCATGTTGTAACAATAATATAATTATAAATTTAATTTCGAATAATTAATATTATATTAATGATAAAATTTTTTTTTTTTATATTCATTTGTATTAATATATAAGTATTTTTGTATTATTAGGAGTAAAACTTTTTTAATAATTATTACTAAAATAATATTTAATTAGCTTAAACTGGATTAACTATAGGCCGACCAGCCAATAGTTGCACGCTTGTTCAACTCTTCAGACGAGCCTCACGAGTCCAGGACCAACTGGGTATATAAGTTCACTTCTTTACGCTCATTTGGAATACTTTGATAGCCAGTTGTTATCACAGCAATCAGATTGGATTCAGATACCTCATCTATAAGTTAATGATAGGATTGCCTGTTCGACCAACCTGACTGACCGCTAACATAAAACTGAACTGCCCGTTTGTGCCCTGAGAACAGCTAACCTTATTTTACTATAGGGTGCCAGAAAGCCACCCACAGAAACTGGCAAATTTCGACGACGCGCTAAAATGATAGAGCAGTAATCTGTGGTGCTAGTATAGTGCTCTGGGGATGCCATCCTTAGTCGCGACAGTTGAGAGGAGTTGTTGCCTTGCGCCTGTTAGCATCGTAAATAGCGCCTTGTGTGTCTGCGTAAACTCAATCATCAGGCCCGAGGTCATCTACCAGGAGCATATACATAACTGGCGAGGTAGGGAGCTCTCACACGCTGCCTGCAGAGCACAATATCTCGTTGCGCTCTGGGCGTCAAGTCGGTTGGAGTTGACAATCTCTGCTCTGCAGTACTCGTATGCAAGCAAGGATTGGACACATTTTTCCCATGTAGTATGGAGGATGACCTTGTCGGGATAGCTAATGCAATACAGCGTTGGCCAAACACCCCTAGAGTACATAGCGACAAGTGCTTCTCAAGATGCGGAGGAAGCGGATAGGCCAGGGTGAGAAAGTGACGCACCGTAGCATGTGCGTATTTGATACGGTGTCCGGGGTCGAAGCTCGTTGTAAAGCCGGCCGTCCGAGATGTCGATATATAAAGCAGTCAAAGGGCCTCTTTTTTGCCTTTATCTCGATCAGTACTTTCGGCACCACTTTCAGCATTCCAAGAAGTTATACCGCAAATCTCTCTGCAATCTCAGCAGCTTGTTCCCTTGTCCATAAGTCTTGAGCTGTTCCTTCTTACCTTTCCTTTCTCCGAGCCTATACTTTGTCCCGTCATCACAATGAGCAGCGGAGGATTCTACAAATACCGTTGCAAGAACTTTTACTCGCACAACTGTCCCAACTGGGTGTGGGTAAACAACTCGCCATGTGCGACCTGTATTGTAAGTCACATCAATTATTAAATCGAACATCCAAACGGTGTGGAAGCTCCGTGTGAGTGGGTTCAGAATGACCAGCCTCGTGAAGCTAACATCAGAGGGGAGAAAAGGCTGAAGACAGAGATGCTGAGGAACAATCATTGCCGTGTTCGACGGCCTTTCAAGTTAACATTGTCGCACCTCATATCCGAGACGACATCCTACAAGATACAAACTGGGCCAAGTCATGTAGTCGTTGGCCGAAGCGTATATAGACAGCAAGGCTTACCGATCATCTGTCAAACTATCGTTGGTCTTTACATTAACGACATGCCAGTGCGTGTTTGCATTGATAGGAACTCAAACCGGAAAAAAGGCGCTCCGTAAGATGCAACACCAGTACCTCAACAGCTTATCTTTCGAGATATGGTCCGAGGAACTCAAAAAAACTGCACAGACCACCCAGAAGCAACCACGAACTACATGTGTTGTATCGCATAACAGTGTGTACCACTCTAACCGAGAATTGAAAGAGTCACTAGTTCAGATAGGAGTTTTGTCCAAGATAATAAAGCAAGGAACGAGACTAAGTTACTTAGTGGACGTTAATATTAAAACAAACAAACAAACAAACAAACAAACAAACAAACGGAGGGTAAAACGTATAGTCAAACATGTTGCCAGCTCCTGGTGAAACGGGCCAGCAAAACAAGCTTCGGTTTGTAAAGATACAATGTTTAAAGCCCCCTCTAGCCCTATACTAGAACTATTACAAGCTAATAGAAAGATAACTAATAAGGATTTTTTCCTCTTTCTTGAGACCTACTTTCCTTTGCTTTCCTCGTAGTGTGAGCAAGTGCCCTCTCGTTCCCTTCCGTTGGAATTGGGAGTAGAGTGAGCCCTTGCTGAGCGTTTTCGCCACGCGGGCTTCCGGTGGCCGGCAGGATTGATAGACGTCAAGTAGATAGAGGCACAGAGGCTTACGCCATTGTATACTAGAACCTTGAGGGCGAGATAGGCTTTGCTTAATTGTGAGTTGAGCTTTTCAGGGGGGCTTTGGTGAAGAGGTACTTGAAGAGTGGGGGATACATTTGATAACAGACTAGTTTAGGCTAGAATGTAATTAAGAAGTAAGCGTCTGGTATTTGTTTTGATAGAGAAGGCAGGTTCAGCAACTATTTTCAATAGATGATAAGTTGACTATATTAATGAGTAGGGATGAGTTGGTCTATATCATTGTCTTGTCTCTTGCTCTCTCCATTTTGGCTGTCAGTTCAGTGTCTGAAAAATTCCCTGCAGCCCATTTTGTATCCATTCTAGCTCTAGCCCTGAAGGCAGATTATTTACTCTGTAAAGTCAATAATCTTTTGCTCTATTCTCGCCAGTGAATTTAGAGCTTCATTTTCCTGCCTTAACTCTTCTGCTCTCCTTCTGTAATTTTCATCCCCTAGCACACGCTGAACACCCTCTTTTATCTGCTGCCAAGTTGGGGTTTGTGTCTTTAGGCTCACTGCAAATCCAGCCCATGTAGCGCGCATTATGACCTCCGCTTTCTCTTCAGACTCCCCTGCAAATACAGCGGGCACACCATTAATAACTGAATGGCAAAAAGCTCCATAACCAGCATTAGAGATAAAGATATCCGAATGCTCTAATATCAGATCGTAAGGGATATAATCAATAACCCTTGCATTTTCTGGTAATTCAATGTTTTCTGGCATTTTGCTGCCTCGCGCCCCTAGCGAAGCGATGACCAGGATATCGTCATGACTAGAGAAGGCTTGAATCGTTGGCAAAATTAGCTGATGCCAATCGTTACTTACAGTTCCCTGACTGACAAACAGAATTTTTTTCCTGTCTTCAGCTGCTGTATTCTCTGTGATTTCAGACCACCAGTCTGGATATTCATAATTAGCGCTAATATCCCGCCGGGGTAGACAACCAGCAAAATTGATCATGCTTGGCATATCGCTCAAGGGATATTCAAGACTTGGCGAACATAGCAAAAAAGTCGCATCATAGTTGGTAAACCAAGCGCTTAGAGGATTTCCATCTGGCACAACCTCACAGTTGCAGGCACTCATTGCTGCGGCCCAAGCTTCTGATAATGGCCGCATGGGGCCTTCATTGACGAGGCGCCGCAGCTCCTTGTTTCTTAAACGCCCAGATTCGGTTGAGTCCGGTGGTAGCGCGAGCATGAAGGGTGCCGTGTCCTGACTCTCGACCATGAGAGGGCTGGGGCTGATTCCGATTCGTTTAGGAGGGCTGTCAAAACCTGCTGGCAGGGGGCAACCATATCTCAATGGCATCGTAGCCATGCTGAATATCTCCTCCAGAATAATAATTTGGCGTTCTGGGTCGCGTTTGCGTAGCATCTGAAGTGCTTCCAGAGCTGTCTCCGCCCGTATTGCTGTTGTCTCAAAGAACACCCTTGTGATCTGTACGACAATTCTCTCTAAACCATATGGTATTTGTACAAGTTCTGGTGGTGCCCGATGATTGTCATCTAGATCTGGCATATCAATGAACTCGGCGCCTGCATTTGTAATTTTTTCCTTGTACCGATCCGGGCATATAAAGGAGACATCGTATCCACGCTTGACCATATAGGACGCAATAGTCAAGATAGGATTGATATGACCCTCCATTTGGTGAGACAGGAAGACAAGAAGTGGCTTCCTGGACTTAGAAGATAGGGATACCATTATGACTGCCTTAAGTGATATCAACTCTTAAGATAATATTGAGAAACCGAGTTTGCTCAATATGGCGTGAATTCTTTATGTCTTCTTTTTCCGGATGGGGTAAGGGCGAGGCAGTAAGTTGCTGAAGAGAGCATCTAGGCCTACTTATAGTTTTCAGTCACTTGCTAACGCTATGAAAGTTGACCGATCCTTCCCATTCTTCGGACCGGACGTGCGATCCGTCCCGAGTGAGCTGCGCCCAAACCTCGTATTTTTGTGGCAGCCATGTTGATGACAATTCAACTGACGCTAGTACCGACGAGATTATTGCCTTTATGGGAAGGTATGAAGGAGTTGGGAAGGGTCCTGGTGCACGTTCCCGTAATACGGTGCTGGATAGTGATCTTTCAATGATGAGACGTGGGTGCCTACGTAACCTCCTTTTTCAAGGGGCAGGTGATGGATTGGGTTATTAGAGAGCTGCCAGGTAATGCGGAAAACACCATGTCGTATGACGTATTAGTGGATCAGCTTAAGGAAATTTTACATTAGGTTGAAGAAACCGGGTAAGGCCAAGCACGGAAAAAAAAATTAGTAGAACATGGGGGTGTGACGAACCGTACACTAGATAGTTAGTAATACGAGGGATTCCCAAGGGACAAACCTAGAGTTCAGTTCTGGGTTTATGTTGGCGGAGCGGTTAGGAGACCTTCGGTCAATGTAGGCAATAGTAAACAGATGTCACCAGATAGTAAGACTTGCAGATCGTACTGCAATCTTGATTCTGTGTTAACAACTAGCCATCTAAGTTATCTAAAGAGCGTGGAGAAGTGAACGTATATATCCAGTTGGGATGTCTGGATTGTGAGGGCTCGTCGGGCTCGTTGGACGAGCTCATCGAGCCACCTGTGATTGGCGCACCGGTCCTTAGTTAATCCGATCCGTCCTACCCTGTAGGGGTCATGGTTGCGACCTTAAGTGTTGGGTTGTAAAAGGGGGAGAGGGGTTGCGTGTTACAACCTGGTCCCTCGTAAACGGTTGATTCCATTATATGCAGCTGGATCTGTTACAGTAATTGCTACTTGGCCTAATATTTTGCCCTGTTGGCTTAACTGTATAACGGATTGTCACGTTGCGCCAACTGCTAAATGCAGAAGTATTAATCTTTAACAATCTTATTGAAGACCCTAAAATAATTTGAGATAGATTAATAAATGACTTAATTGAGTATAACTAAATTAATTATAACTAAGTTAATTAGGCAATTAATAATTCATTTCCTGATTTATTTTCTTATCTTATTTTAAATTAAGATTATAACCATTTAAATAGAAAAAATAATAGTTATAAAAATTTTGAAACTTGAATTAAATAAATAACCATGACGTACTATTAATATAACAAATTATTTATATAAGGCTTATTGACTTTGTTTATTGTAAGCTATAGAATATTAATATAAGGCTTATTTGTAATGGAACCAGCTATTCATAAGAGATCGGTTTGTTATAAGGGACCAGGTTCTAAGAACTTCTAACGTTAAGTAAGATTTTTTTTTTTTTAGTTTTAGCTGTACAGTACCGGTATAAGTAAATAAACTTATTTAGTTAGTTGTATTTAGACTATTGACTAAACTAATTGTCACTAATTTACGACCCTATTATAACTCACCAAAGTACCGATTTAGGCAGTCCCACATCTCAGACAGCGTAATTAGTTCGGCGTAGAAAATTAGTCCGACAGAGCGCGGCATCTTGAATTATATATAGCTTCTATCACGGCAGCTCCGTCATTGCTGATGGCTTCCGCCGCGGCATTGATACCTTCACGACGCTAGGTTACGCGAACCCGTACAACTTGAATGATGGGCTCACAAGATGTATCACAGAGGGCAGACACGGTAATCAATCTCTCTGCAACCGCTCGATCTTAGCTGGGTAGATAGGCAGAGGAGTGCTAAATGTTTCCAGAAAAGCTTGATCACATGCTTCTGTGTTGCCACCGTCTTCGTTGTCATGCGCACGGCAGCGCGCTGGTTCAAGAACCGTAGGATCCCGCTTCAAACTGAAGACATCCTCATCTATGGTGCACTGGCGTCCTTTGCGATCATGACTGCGCTCTACCTCGCCACGATTCCAACCCTTTTCGACTCTATAGCTATCAAAGCGGGTCTCATGAAGCCATATGCCAGTCTCGAAAACGATCTCGTCGTGATGCTGCATGAATTTTTTTTTGGTCCAGTTTTTCTTCTGGCTGACGTTGTGGATGGTCAAGTGGAGTCTGATGTGTATGTTCAGGCAACTCACGGACAAACTGCCCCTCTATATTAGAATTTGGAGGGCAGTACTTGTATTCTCGATCTTGACATTCATTGCTTGCTGTATCAGCAACTTCACTAGCTGCTCCTCTATGCACGCCTGGTTCACGGCAGGAGAATGCGATACGCCTCGAGATGCACAAGCGAAAAATATCAGTTTGTGGTTTAGTCTTGCAGGAGACTTGTCTACTGACCTTCTAAGTAGTCCTCTAACCCCCTTTTTTGATTGCTCTTAGCTAACTCTCACACTTAGTTATGGTCATCCCCATGCGCGTGCTCTGGAGTTTGAGAATCTCGCTTGCGGAAAAGTTTAGTATCGGTTTTATCTTTACAGTTGGTCTCATCACCATGGTTACAGCTATAATACGATGTGTCACACTTGAGTCAAGCGAAACTTCAGGCCAAGTCAGTACGACATGGCTCATAATGGTAAGAACCTTCATTGGCAAGCATAACTCCCCTTTCTATTTCTTGTACTTTGAAAGCGCCACAGACTTGAGCAGATCTAATTCAGCAATATAGTGGGCTGCTATAGAAGGAGCTACCGGTACGTATGCGCGCTAATCTAACAAAGTCGGAACAGAGGAAAATTTTAATACTGACAATTCATCTTTTATAGCAATGGTTGTCGGGTGCCTCCCATCTTTAGTCGTCTTCATTCGCGGCCGCGTAATAGCATTTCGAGCTCAATACGTAGGCAGTCTAAATAAAATTCCTACCGAATACGATACAACTCGAGAATAAAATCTTGCAGAGGTACTAGCAGCATGTGCCCTCATGAAGGTAATCATCCGTGGCAATCTCTCAACACTGCAAGCGACAAGAGCTTAGTCGACAGCGGCATCGTTGTCGTCGTTGTCACGCAGACACGAGGGTACGGTTGGCATAGCACAACAGGGCAGAGCGTTGAAAGAGCAAAGGCATTTGAAACAGAATATGAGTTAGTAATAGTTAGCCGATATAACAGCAGTCAAAGTAGCAATACAATGCTGCGTACTTAAAAATTGCCTTTTTTGTTTTAAAGAAAAAAGAGGGGGGGAGCTGTTGTTGTTTAGCGTTGCTGATGAACGTATACATACCTCAAGCAATCCCTCAAAGGCAATATTTAAAAGCTACCTCCTGTGATAAACTGCAGGTACGCCTATAATATGAGCTATCAGGCACATGGATCTTCTTTATTCTTGCCGAAGGGCAGCACAGAGCTCGGCTTATTGTCTGGCCTACGATGCTGTACTGTACCCACTCGGCTGATTTAATGTTTTTGAATCTCCTCTTTCAATTGAGGTCATACGTGCAAGCGCCGTTGTGCCGACAGTGTCCGTAGGATTCCCTTGTGGAATTGCCTGTGGGATCGCTATAGTTGAAGTAGGCGCCTCCGTATCCACAGCAGTGCCACCCCAGAGCCACCACTGGTAGCGGAATGGGAAGTAGTCGATGCAAAATCGTTGAAGATGTTGTTAGCAGAACAGGTAGCCTCAGTCTTCTAGTAGTGTCTATTGTTGAGTTTATTCCAGCAGTACCTGCAGTAGTTTTTGTAGCAACGTCGTTGGCGTTGCTATTGGTTCTTACTATACGGGTGGCAGGGATTATAGGGTTCACTAGCTTAGAAATTACAATCTATTTAGTCAGAAACTATCCTGAAGGACCTATGCATAAATGTAAGTGTATGTAGTATAACTTCTATTGATCATGCGGTGCATCTGGAATGTAACGACTAACTCAATGGCAAAGAGTTTGGGTTAGTGACCGAAGGCCCCGCAGGTCCGACCAACGGGTAATATTTTTGCTTCCATGCCCTATTGTTCTACCTCAACCTTGAATTTGTGACTACTAGAATGACGGTGAGCCAGCCTCAGTGCCAGGAATGATTTCCGTATTCTCCGCATAACAAGTTGTTCCACTCTGGCTCTCTTCTTGCTGGCAAGCGAGGTCAGCAATGCCAGTTCCATTTTGCACTCCTTGAAGGTTGCCTCTTTTAGACACATTAGCGCCAGTCCATGTCTATGCTGTAAAGGGTAAAATGGCTTAACTTACGCTCCATTAAGATGTTCAAGAGTGATAGAAATTTGGCCGGTAGAATGACTGGTTTGAATATAGGTGAATTTCACCTGTGGATTCTCGCAGGCCGTAGGAGTCAACACCGTGGCTGGACGGCCAGATCCAGGGGCGTTGGCATATTTGCACGTCGTAATCAAGGAAATAGAGGCATCTTCAAAGTTGAATTGAAGGCTGCTGGCGAATGTTGTGGAAGTAGTCTCGAAAGTCCGAAGGGTGGTGATGTACCAGTAGGGAGAGGCAGCTGAGGCTAAGCTGGCAAAAGCTGCTGCTGCTAAGCCGTAAACACCAGTAGAGGCCTTCATTTTCACTTTAAAGTGTAGTACTATTCAGAAGTATTAAATTTTATGCGAGTTCGGAATTGTTTGAGAGACTGGAGCCACGATTTTAACAGGAGGCCGTTAGCCATTTATAACCTCCTATCAACACAAAGCGTTTTAAATGATTCATGGATTCTTGACAAATGTAAATCGAGTGGTACGTTGCGCTGTTCTCGGCATATCGGCAACTATTGACAGAAACGTACGAATAAAATTTACTGTTCATACAGTTGTCGGCTATTCGGCAGGAATCTACGTCGCAATACGGTACATTGAAAAGTCGGTGAGGTATCCGTCATATCTTTCCTTTGTTGATAGGGGTACACCTACTAATCTTATTTAAGACTCATCTCCGCAGACACGACTTAAAACTCCATTATTCAGACATAGGTGGCATCTTTAGAAAAGAGTATTAAAAAAATTCATCATACATACATACAGTACTTTTGAAGCTCTATATCAATGTCCTGTGCTTTCGTATGGCTGTTACCTTCGATCATGAAGCTTTTATGAAAGCGGTATCTTTACAGTTACGCAAATAGATCAGTCTGTCAAAGAAGGTTTGTGATGCTTCGCGTTACTGACTCAAATATGATATTCAAGGATCCATGGTGGTTTGTGGAGAAGGCGGTTAACGTAAGATGCAGTCTAGCTGTTTCATGACTACGTAATATTCCTGGCGCAGCAGTTTCCTAGACAAGTTAGTTGTCTTGTTAAACACAGGTTTATGACGCCCCGCGTGACCAAAAGGAAGTTCAATAGAAAGCCAACCTCTACTAGATGGGGGTGGATTCATAATGGATTTATAAACAACTGCCTAATGGTATTTCCAAATTTAGAGTAGCTAGTACCTTTTAGCGTAGCTATAACCCTTCCAGTGTATTTCGTCGCTAAAATGTCTGCTTAAAGAGGGAACTCAGGACGACTAGCTAAGCATATCATTTTGTCCTGAGGGTTTTATCCATTGACGTGTCGCTGCCTTGGAGAACCCCAAGTACACAGTGGACATATCTGTTCTGCGCCAGCTTATCTCTTGTGATCGCATCCTTCGACCGGCTGGCCCCTCGTCCAAGGTGTCGTTAATTGCCGCCGCAATATTGCCCAACACCGGTTAGCTTGCTATGTCTCTCAGCCATTCACGACCCGAAGTTGGTCCCTAGCGTGCATCGGTACAGAGCTTGTATCTTTACTACTAGGTAGGTAATGTACGTACTCAGAGCCAAATGCGGCCGTCTCCTTCCGGCCCGCAACCCCCCGATCGCCAAGGCACAGCCGGCCCCGTCCCAGCTTCACCCGCCGATCCCCTGGGAGGGTGACGCCACATCCCCGCTTCTCAAGGACCTTCGGCATCTTCTCCGCGAAGAACCGGCGCATCTCGGGCACAAAATGAGTTCGGAAGTCCTCCCATATATATTCTGCAGCGGCATAGACGTCTTACGACATTAGCTAGACCCTAGTCTCAGACTCAGATATCCGTGATCTGTGGTCTACGTCGGGTCAGGGCCAGGTGGGATGGGCGAAAAAACTTGGCGTTTTGTTGTCATCTCAGAACTTAAAAAAAGTATTTCAGAAACCATAACTACATAAAAATTAAATAATATATATCAATGGATTTCTTTACATTTTTATGGATTTAATTAAATTTATTATTATATACATTCTTATCAAATATTGATAGATTTGTGGAAATAAAGATTATCCCCACTTTCTACTTGATTTAGAAAAGCGCCTTAGAGGTACGTACCTTGAGAACATCCTTGTTTCCAGGGGTTTGGATTTGATTGGCTGATAAAACGGTCGGAACCCCCTGTCAAACATCTATGCTAGTCTTTTAGGAAAATAGGTTTAGCTATAATTACAGTTCACCAGTACAAACAGCAAGCAGTTCAGTTTTGAAGGCGCTTTCTTTAAATGGCCTGGTTGTCTTGTAAAGAATGGGCCTCTTACAGTATATACCTGCCGAAAGACCAGCCAAAAGGCTTCGGACTGACAGATTCTATGCGCCGCGTTGTCTTATTTTTTCATCATTCGGGTCCGCGTAAATTACCGCTTTAGGCTTTGCAGTCATCAAGCTAGCCTATTTGAGTTTTGCAGTCAACATTCTAGCCTTCATAATTTAATGATCAAAAAACTAGCCTAATTAGTATATTCAGATATTAACCCCGCAGTTTATTTATTTTGTGGGTTGTCAGAACTTACCAGTTGTAAACCAGAAACCTACATATGGGTGTTTGTATACAGCCCCCTTTTATATCTAGCAAGACATATTAATTATGCCACAAGGTCCCAAAAACGTCGGCAGGCCCCGAAAATATGCGTCTAAAGAGGAGAAGGCAAAGCAAGATGTTATCGCAAGACGTATTGCAAGGCGTGCTCGTCGACAACCTCAATCTGCTTATATGAGCGCACAAGGAGATATTCGATTTCGGATCTACACCGCCCCGCAGACAGACGCTATGCTCACGCCATCGACACAACAAACCTCTATTCACTCCCTCGATCGCCTCAATGACCTCGCAAATAGTACTAACCCAGCAGATCCAATCTTAACAGCCTCTTGCGAACCAGTCGAGCCTCATAGAAACGAAGCAATACCCTGCAACAATGAACTTCTACGAAACACATCTCGTCCAGCCACTCGGTTCAATACTGGATACCCTCAGCTGGAGGCCAATGAGACATTACAGCCCGGCATTCCACCTTCAATAGAGGCTCTACGTTGTAATAATCCGGCCTCGGCCATCTGTGACGCCAATGACTACAATGAAAATAACGAAATATTCCTTACGTCAGATTATCAGTCGGTCTATGCGCATCAGGCACCCGCTGAACCACCATCTACCCTAGAAGATGGCCCCGGCACGAACGGCCATGGAACCCCTGAAAATCTTGAAGAGAGGGAACGGGGCGAAGATATCATAATCAATCAGGAAGAAGAACATGGTACAACTTATACCAACGTTGAAATTTTACCAAATGAAGATTCTGAATCAGAGATGGGAACAGAGATAGACTCCTTAGATGAACAGGATGAATCTGGTAGCACTCATGAGCTAAATGACATGAGTGGATCAAATCTCTCTCTAGCAAAACAATATCTAGAGAGAGCCTGGAGTTGCCTTTGCAACTGCGGGCAACAGGAATCTATAGGACCCGATAGGGACACTCTACTTGGCCTCAGTCAAATGGCCAGCTACTGGAGAAACCTCGGTCTGCCAGATGCAATTGGTCCAGCATCAAACACAACCGAAGCGGGCGAGGATGAGATAAGACCTCTGGATTGGCGTTCAATATTAAGTGGAGGAGAGACACAGCCGCACTTATGCTTTGAGAAGAGTCATTACAATATTCCAAGCATCCAGCGCAGCTGGGATGTGGACAGTGTTATAAGTTTCGCTTTATGTCTATCAATTAACAGAGGCCTTTACGTCTCGTATCTTGCGCCCATGTCGAGAAATATGCAAAGGAGCGTTCATGTCTTTCATCAAGGAAAACCTCTTCACGCCATTCCCCATCTGAGACTTGGTAGTGGACACCAAAACCCCCGGTTTAGTGTTTATGTCTTCTTCCCCGGAATTTCACATGTGCGTCGCACAACATCGTACCTCACCAACGACGAGCGGCGTATGTGGATTGATAGACTGCTCCTGCCAGCTATCCGGCACATTTGCCCTCACGATGTAATACAACATCATCCCCGATCGTTTGATGATATCTAGAGTAAGGCCCATAATCGCCGGAGAGAAGCATGCTCTGGGCAAGTTCGGAATGACATCGATATGCACCATTACTTGCCGCAAGAATATTTGGAGGCGATTTGGAGGCATATGTCACAAAGCGCAGAAGCCCCTGATCTTACAAAATTTCGCGGGATGTTTATCGTTCTAGGCGCAAAGAACATTAAATTAGAAGCAAAATCACTCACATTCCAAGATTGTCGCAGCAGACTCACAACCCACCTTAACCGAGTCTTGAACTGGTCTAAATCAGACCTCTCGAATACGTGGATAGATATTGGCATCGAGAATACTGCCACTTCTGGAGGCAGCACATTCCTGTGGAAAAGCCAATGCTTGCGGCATTGGATTGGTACAATGAAAAACAGTGCTACGTCACCACTGATAGCATCGAAATTTTTTAACTGGACGCTGACAGCTCAAGCTGGCAGCGCTAGGGTTGAGACTCGCAGGACACATCCTTTGCACAAGGGAGGGGTTGTCTATGCACAAAGTTACAATACCAACAAAGACCTTTTCCATACAGCTTCTAAACGTGAGCCTGGTCTGTTCAGCGAGCCACACTTAGAGGGAATAACATGTCCACCTTCACTTCTGGATGCATGGATTGTAGCCGCCAGGCAAGGTCGTAACGCTGGGGTAGCGACTTCCTCGCAGTCAAAACCACAAATAAAGCGCCTCCGAAAAGCATTCGAAGCTATGAAATGTCGCATTCACCATGCCTTAAGTAGCTCTATTGGGACCAGCTGTGGTGTTCGAGAAGAATATCGAATATCATGGGAATTATTTACGTATGTAAACCCTTCTACAGCACAACCGTGTGGGCCTCACCGACCGTTCTGGGAATTATCAATAGCCTAGGCACTATTGACAGGGAAATCAGTCTGAATATAAGTGAAATACAAAAATCCACCATAGTAAAACATGAGCAAGTACCCCTGCAAAAGGAAACTTGATTTTAAGTGAAATACAAAAAATAAAGTGATATAATTGGCTGTTTTAACCAGGGGTTAAAAATAGCAAGGGTATTTAATTGGATAAGTTTTCACTATAGCCCCATAACATTTACACTTAATCATCTTGGGAGCTACCTTATGCTAACTACTAACTTATAGGAACTAAATTTACTTACAGTCTGTTTGTTTGTTTGTTTGTTTTATTATTAACGTCCACTAAGTAAGCTAGTTACATAAATCCCTTCTAGGCAATAGGACGGTAGGAGCCGCTGGTCAGAGTACGCGTTCGCTACATGTCATACGGAACAAAGGAAAAGTTTTGTGTCAATCTGTGTTAGTCTTGTGTCAATCTGTGTTCTTCTTGTATCAATCTGTGTCTTGGGGGGCAGGGCCGTTACTTACAGTCTATGCCATAACCTATTACGCCATTTATCTATAATTTTTATAGCCCTGTCTCTCCTCCTCATTCCCCTAGCACTTGACTCATTACTATTGCTACCACCCGGTTTGCTTGCACACACTTCACTCCTCCCATCTTCTATTACAAGATTTGGAGATTACGTATTGCTCTTGGTAGTCGAGAGATTGATGAGTGACCAAGGAGCGCTCAAATTCTTTTCATCGGAATACGTTGGAGGTCTATCTGATCTACAGCTAGTGGAGATGGCTGCAGAAAGCTACACAACTTCAGCCGCAAGGGTGGAGCTCGAGCACCGGTGCCAGAGGTACCGCGAGGCTCTTCATGTGGCCAAAAGCGTGTAGGCAGATATGGTTTGGACCATCTCTGGATTAGGTTTTGCCCCCTGTGGTTTCCCTAGTCTGTGACGCAAATGCGAGAGATATCTGCGATTTATGTTGTTTTCGCTTTCGATGCAGGTTCAGTATGATGTATTTAACAGCACAAATAGGAATTACCCGTCATGCTGCTGCTTTATTACCTGTTCCTTCCACTTCTAGTGATTAGCTTGAACCCACAACCCACTTTTGCCTCTAGAGTTATTTCATTTAGCGTTCAGCCCGGCTCTAAAGACGATTCCTATCACTTATGCACCAATGGATTGTACTAGAATCCGTTGAAGATTTATATAGCCCCACAAAACCACAGGGGGTAGAGTCCGTTGAAAACCAGAGTAGAGTCCATTGAACGATATTTGGCCATAGGTAAGAGTAAAATGACATTTATGCATATTATAAATATAGCAAAGCGATATAAAGTGTAATTTTTAATTAATAGAATTTATAAAATTTATTTGAATTTAATATTTGTTGGTAAAGTTTTGGGTTAGTTTGCCAGTGGTTGAAAGTGGAGCCACCAAGTGATGCATTAGACCGCCAGAAAGTTATCAGAGCCAGAAAGTCATCAGGGCCAGGATTATTAGAAAGCAAGGCCAGGGCCAAAAATCAGGGATAGTAAGAAGGGTATATAAATCAGGATGTCCCACCGGAAATAAAAAGAAATATGGAAATGCAAAAATGTAAAAAGAAGCCCCGCGCCCAAAAGTAACCACAAACCCCCAAGGAATCAGTGAACCAAAGGTTAGTGCATAGCCCAAGATCATCAAAGCGCACACATACCCCAAAGTATAAGATAGAGAATGCAGACCAATATAACAGAAAAATGTTTTTAGTTAAGGCGCGATATATTATGATTTTCATTAAGCCCGTCCGTAAAGGTATTAATTAGTATTCCATTGTGTGACCGTTAAAGGGGAAAGGCCATATAAGTACAAACGGCATTATAATACCAGTGTTAACGCATAGCAGGGAAGAACCATGGAGCCATTTTTATATAACAATCAATATCCATTTGTATTTTGCCAAGAATGTCGGTGGGCATGTATCGCAAAGGAAGTCAAGACACATTTAGCGAAAAACCATACCACAATCCAGCCATCAACACGAAGAGCAATTGCCCAGAGGGTTCAAAGCATTCCCGGATTAATCCAGGACCAAGCAGAGTTAGCAGGGTATTCGTTACCAGATCGAGTGACACCAATCCCGTATTTAGAAGAACCAAAGAGAGATGGGTTACGGTGCCGCACATGCCGGTACGTCACGCGGAAGGTTAGGGTTATACAGCAACATTGCAAAGAGCAGCATAATTGGGTTAATGATTGGAAGAAAGGTGGCAATATTAAGGCCAAGAAGCAGGAGCCGCGCCAGTTACCGTGGATCGTGGGGGTTTGGTGCCAGAGGTTATTTCCCAGCCGCGTAGCCAGCAGTTGGTTTGAAGTGAAGATCACAGTCGACATGGGATTTGGTGTTATCGAGGACACACCGACAGCCAAGGGAGAAGAGTGCGATGAGGAGGATTATAACAAAGCCGCCATATTGGAGGAGTTGGACGAATGGGATGACATGCAGGAGCAGCGATACACAGACGGGCAGTCGACGCGGCGCGTTGAGGAATTGGACCCCAAGAATGAGGCCAATTCGTGGTTGCAGCGGGTTGGGTGGACCAGGCATTTGGAGGGGTTGGAAGTGGAGGAATTGAAGGAGTTGGTCAAGGACCCGGCCGAGGATGAGAGGTTATTGCAATGCATGAGCGAGCAGTGCCACAATTTGTTGGAGGAGGCATATAAAACATGTCGGTCATACCGCATTGGGTTGCCGGCCATGTTTGAGATCAACCGACGCGAGGTATCCGTGCAGGCCAAGCGGCCGTTTGAGCCACGGATGGAGGCGGATTCGTGGGCACGATACAAAGGGGTGATGTGCAGAATCATTTGCATTATTTACCGCACGAAGCAGCGACCACAAGAAGAGCGGCCGCCGTACGCCATGACAAGTGCCCAAAAGCGATATTGGAAAGGGTTTGCCAAAGCATGTGACCGATATCAGGCCATACAGGAATACCAGGCCATGATATTAGCAAGCAAAGAGAGCCGTGAAAAGCAGGGCGAGAGTAGTGGCAGTGACAGTGGCAGTGACGGCACCAGCAAGGACATTCACAAGCGGACGGAGGAGATCCAAGGATCATGCCGCGACATGTGCGCACGGTTTATCATCGCCATGTTAGATCATTCGTTAGGCGACCACCAGTATGACAGCGTGTTGATCAGCACGTTGGCGGTGATGGGGGTCCGGGACGACGGCGGTTGGCACAGCGCGTTAGATTACACGCCCATATTGTCGGCCGTCATCAAGGTGGCACGAATCGTGGTGTTGTATCATGTGTATACCGAGCGCCAGGTTGAGATTCGCAACATAATGCGGGAAAAAGGTGTACGCGAGGCGGACGCACGGCAATTTGGCACATCGATGTTCGCGCGCACACGACAATACGTCCGGAAGTTCATGACACGGGTGGGGAAGGAGACCGATGAGTTCCCATCGCCGATGGATTGGATGTTAGAGACGCGCACGTACGGAATGAAGATTCGGTTCACAACGACGGCCGGGGGGGTGATTGATTGGATCGGCGACCAGATTATATTCCGACGCATTCGGTTTTCGATGGCCGAGTTGAGCGGGTTCATGCACGCCGTATTGCAAGAGGCACGCAGTATCATGACCGATTTGACAATGTGTGGCGGTGAAGGTGTGCATGCGTTGCCGGCGATTGCGTGGGATGATGTATACGACGACAACAGTAACGACGAAGTCGGATATTCGTTTATCAAAGACGGCCGGAATGCGCCATGGGTTGAGAAAGGGAAAGGATACGTCAAAAGGCAGTTGGTCCAGAGCATGAAGCGGCGGAAGGCATGGTTGCGAGTGCCAGACGCCCGCGAGGGACAAGGCAGTCAACCGCCGTCAAGGCATCCATACAGAGAAACGACGGCAAGGGAATACGGGCGGTTGTTGGACCGATTCCGGGAGAAGTTGTTAGTTTTGATGCACATGGGATCCGGCCAGCCGGCGCGCGCCACGGAGATATTGACGGTGCGGATGGAGAACACGGCCAACGCAGGGGCACGGAACATATTCGTGAGCCACGGGCAGATGTGTTTCGTGACGGCATACCACAAGAATTTCCAGCAGTCAGACCAAGTCAAGATCATCCACCGATTCATGCCGCCGGAGGTCGGGGAGTTGTTGGTGTGGTATGCATGGTTGGTTTTGCCGTTTTGGCAGAACGTGCAGGGCATGATCAAGAGGTCGACGTTCCGCAGCGCATACGTTTGGGCCGATGAGATCACATCACGTAGTGCGATTGACCGGGCAGTTGACAGAGACATGAGAGCGAGCGGCGAAGACGATGTGCAAGACCAAGACGCAGAGCGACCGAGGGAGCCAGCAATGGGGCCGTTCCGCGAGACGAAGTGGTCATCCGACCGGGTACGACGCATCATCCAGCGGCACAGCGAGCGGTTGTTGGGCCGCAAGTTGAGCACGAGCAGTTGGCGACAGATTGCGATTGCCATATCCAACAGATATTTGGGCACGCAGCATGACCCGTCGTACGGCGGAGAGAACGGAGAAGACGAAGATGGCATCGACGACGTGAGCGACGCCCGGGATTTGCAGGCGGGGCACACATCGCACGTGGCGGGCATGATTTACACACAAGAGATGCAGCAAGGGTTAGGCGGCACGGCATTAATGCGAGAGAAGTTCCGCGAGATCAGCCGGGAGTGGCACCAATTTTTCGATTTCGGGCAGGAAGGCGCCGGCCGGGACGGCATACGGGGTGGGGCCACAGCCGCGGCGCATCAGCGAAGGCAGCGGAACAAGTTTAAGAGCAGCCGGCAGAATGTGCGGTTGCGGAGATTGGAGGCATTGCGGCAGGTCGACATATCGGCGATGTTAATGTGCATCAAGGGGAAGGCGGCCACGTTCCGGCCAGGGCAGAGGAAAGCCATCAGCGGGATCGTGCGAGGAGAGAGCCCGGTGGTGCAGATCGCACCGACGGGCGGCGGCAAAAGAATGTCGTTCATGTTGCCGGCGTATTGTTCGCAGCAGGGCCGGACGATCGTAATCGTGCCGTTGGTTGCGTTGCAGGAAGACATGCACAGCGAGTGCATCAAGCACGGCATCGAGGCCAGCATATGGGACAGCAAGACAGGCGTGCACCAGGGCAGCCGGGTTATATTGGTGGTTTCCGAATTAGTATTTACGGCGGCATTCCAGCATTTCATCCAGCGGTTGCAGAACCAATTTGCCATCGACCGGGTGGTGGTTGATGAGTGCCCCACGTTATTGGACGGGACCGACACATTCCGGCCAAAATTACACGAGATTGGGCAAGAGATCGCATTATAGGGTGTGCAGCGGGTGTTTTTGACGGCCACATTACGGCTGTCAGAGGAAAGGGAGTTTTTCAGAAGGGCACACATCGACGCAGGCAGCGTGGTGATGTTCCGGGGCCAGACAACACGGCGCAACATCCGATATAGGGTAGCGTTCGTGGAGGGTAAGTGGACTAAAGGCGGCAACTAGCACAAGGCACAAGAAGAGGCAGAAGACAAGAAGGCAATGGAGATAGCACAACGTTGGGTCGAAGAGAAGAAAGAAGGGCGTGTAATCATATACGCCAGCACTATTCCACGGACGCAGAAGTTGGCCGAAGCATTAGGCATTGATGCATATTACAATTAGGTGGGAACGCGAGAGGACAAGCGGCAGCGGATGCAGTCGTGGATGACGGCGACAGCAGCAACGACAGTTAAGCGGTTGATCGTGGCGACTAACGCATTGGGTTTAGGGATTAACATGCCAGACGTAAGGTTAGTGATACACGCGGGTTTACCGTACCGGGTCCGGGCATTTGCGCAGGAGAGCGGGCGGTTAGGTCGGGATAGCAGACAGGGCACATCAATTGTGATTTGCAAGGCAATCAAGGGACAGCGAGGATTTACACAAAAAGGAGACCAAGGAGGCCAAGGAGGCCAAGGAGGCCAAAGCGTTCGAGATGAAGAGGTGGTTGAGTATATACGGGGGATATGGTGTAAACGATTTGTGTTAGATAAGGCGATGGACGGGCGCATACGAGAAGGTGGGTGTCAGGGCGACGAAGAAAGGTGCGACATATGCATTCAAGGCGGCCGGGTAGAGGAGGAAAGCAGGATTACGGCAATACGGCACATTGTCAGTACGGAAGACCCAGCCGGCGAGGCGGTAGACGAGGAAAGCAGCGTGGCAGGCGGGGATTGAGAGCATAAAAGGCGGCGAATAGGGGAAAACGGAGCAGCAATTGCGGTTCGAGTTGGGGGTGCATCATCAGGAGCACCGTCACCCGGTACTGAGATTTGGACGTTTGGAAGCGATGAAGGAAAGGCAGCAGACGGGCAGATTACAGAAAGAAGGGAAGAGGAAGAGGCGGATGTTCATGTGACAAGCATAGAAATATACATGCAGGAACAAGAACACAAGTTTACGATATGGAAGGAAAGCGAGAGAATACAAGACAATACGTTATTAACGGAGATATTCAAGGAGCAGTTAGCCAGTTAGAGCAAGGGTTGCGTATATTGCTGAATGAGCAGCGGCGAGTATAAGCATAAAGGCGTATGCCCATTAGAGGCACAGGGTAAGGGCGTTTTAAGGGAGATAAAGGAATATGTGGAGCGCGTGCGAAGATGGATGGGTAAAGAAGGATCATTTGCCAGGTTTTGCGGATGTTAGGGTTGCGGTTTACCGTATCGATTTTGCAACCGGTGGCAAGAAATAGATAGAGACAGCGGAAGGTTTCGACCAGTGGTAGGAGAAAAGTGTCGGTATGCAGATATAATGGCAGAGGTAATAGGGGCAGGTTTATTAAGGGCAAGGGATGTAGTAGAATATATTTTCCGGCAGTTAGGGGGGATAGAGAAAGGACAAGGAGTTGGGTTAAATGAGATATTACGGATTGGTGGGCGTAAATAGAAAAATTGGGGAGGGATGGAGATGAATGAGATGTGTATAGGGATGAGCATTTTAATAGATTGGTTTGACAATGACATTTAAATATGGGTTGTTTATTATAGATTAGGGAGAATAATAAAATTATATTATTAAGGGAAGTAATAAAGTATATGGTTAGGGGGAGTAATAAAGCATATATTTATTATTTAATATTTAGCACTTATAAACTCTATTGATTTTAAGTGAAATACAAAAACGCACCATGGTAAAGAGTAAGCAAACACCCCTGTAAAAGGAAACTTGATTTCAAGTGAAATACAAAAAATAAAGTGATATAATTGGCTATATTAACCAAGGATTAAAAATAACAAGGGCATCTAGTTAAATAAATTTCAACTATAGCCCCATAATATTTACACTCAATTTTCTTTAGAACTACCTTATACCAACTACCAACTTATAAAACTACTAATTTGTTAGAATTAAAACTATAGTCTATAACTTATTATAACCTATCACGCTATTCATCTATAATTTTCATGGCCCTATTAACCCTCCTCCTTCTCCCAGCACTCGACTCATTACTATTGCTACCACCCGGTTTGCTTGCACACACTTCACTCCTCCCATCATCTTCCCCGGGCGTCCCAACCCTATCATAAACTCCTCTTCCGTCTTGAACTTCCGCCCAACTGCCGACCAGAACCACTCCTGCTGCCCCCATTGCCTCCACGCTCCGTAACATGCTGGTATTACTATATCCCCAAACCGGCATTCCGCTCTTCCTCCCACCCCAGCCCTTGATCCCTCTGCCACTTGGCATATCACTTATGGCTGGTAGCACCAGAAACACAATCTCAACTCCTCCATCCACCTCCTGCCCTCCTTCCTGCATCTCTCTATCGCTTTCCTCTTGGCCCAGAACCAATCGTGCCGTCGAGCGCAACTACCCGCCGTGTGGTTGAACGCTCGCCCTTCTACGCGGCAGTATAAACAGGTCTCAGCCACTGTCTCCGTGTCCCTCTCGTACCGCCTGAGCTCCTCCTCTCTCATCCGGTCTTGTCGAAGAACTTCGCCTGGCCCTGTAAACTGCATCTCCTGCTCCTGCTCCTGCTCCTCCTGTCCCCTCCCTGATCCTCCAGCTATCTCGCCATGCTCTTTCCTAGCAGGCCCCTCCTTGGCCGACGACGATAGTAAGTAGTATATTTTCTCTTAGGTACTGGGTTAGACCTAGAAAGTTTAATAATTAAGTCTCATACCCCAGGGTACAAGATATTAACCCGAGGAGGCTGAACATAGCCGGCTAAGGGAGGATGAATCTAAAGAACTGGCCAGGCGTGCAGAACCGTTAGGTGCACTTCTTGCAGGCCGCGTCTCTACAGTACGACTACGGGAAGCAAGTGGCGGCAGGCCGGGAGTCCGAGGCCAGGGTCCGGCTGTCATCACAGGATGCCTATGCCGCAACGGAGTATATAAAGGAGGTCTTCCGGAACAATTTCATGTCCAAGATGCGGCATTTTTCAAGATCCGGAAGCTTATCCAGAAGCGGGGACGCTGCGTCACGCTGTCGGACGAGCAGCAGGAGAAACTTGAAAAGGGTTGCCTGTGCCTTAACAACTGGGAGGCCGCAGGTCGGAATAACACAGCCGCGTTGAGCTTCAGGTAAGTACAATAACCTAAGTAACTAAGCATCTACACTACCACGCCAAAAGGCAATGCTGGGAGAGAGCTAACAAGCGATGCGCACGCAGGGCATTCGGCAGTATCGTAGCAGAAATCAACGATGCCCTAGACGAAGGGCAGGGCCGGTTGAAGGAGGCGATCACATATGAAAAGCTGGATTAAGACAGATACGTCGACCGCATCCTGGGAGCTCTCCAATCTAGCAGCGATACGGTAATAGACAAGACGCTCAGCTCGAAGAACTTAACATAACTAGCCGTCCTAATTTCGCTATTCAAGCAGACATACAGCACGGGAAATCCAGAAAGGTCGATGGAGCAGTGGCGGTATTACATTGAGCCATCGCTAAGACGCACCGCGTCAAATGGCTTCTTAGGATCCCTCGCGGTATTATCACAGCAACGATAACGCGAAGAGTGCTGCCGTCAATGGAGAAGAGCTCGTTAGTCGGCTGGGCCATGGATCTATTTCCTAGGAGTCTAAAGCGGAAAGCCGTCAATTCATAGATCACGCGGGAGGGCAAAAGGCGCAACGCTAAGCGGAGTTGCATCGACTTCGGGTGCAAGTTCCCTCTCAGCGGCGGCCTCCCGGCCGAGCTCGAACGCGGATTCCAACAGCTGCTGGAGAACTCGGGTCACATGAAGTCACCTAACGAGGGGCTCACCAATCACTACAAGAAAGCGCACCGCTTGCTGGAAGAGCTCCAGGCAAGGCCTGAAGTCGAGCTCCTCTGTATGCTGGCTCTGACGGTGGGCATGACATCAGACATGGTCGTGTACAATGTGCCCAGGGGAAGAGGCCAGGACGAAGTCGTCGGTTTCGCCATAGCCGGCAAGAAGGTAAAGCAGAAGAGGGGAGGGACGCGGGCGGCTCTGCTGGCAATACGGATGCTGTGGTTCCTCGAGCCGGACCGGTTCACGTGGAACAAGGCCCAGGGGCCGGAGAAGAAGCAGAGGAGGAGACGATGTACAGCACGCAGTACGTGCGTGAGACGACAGGTAAGCTCCAGAATCTAACCCGGCTGCTACGTCAGAGACCAGGAAATGGTTGAATTAACGTTGGATCCTAATCCATAGACCAATACAAGATAACAAACAACATGCTTGCGACATTGGGCTGGATTGATAGTAGGGGCAATCAGCTAAATGCGAAGTCAGAGATGCTTCGTATAGCAAGCCCAGAAAGACTGCGAGTACGATTACGGCTACTACGAAGTCTAATGAGCAGGCCGGCAGATTTCATCAGAGAGGTGTTCCAGAGCGACGATCCGAAGTGGGCTGATCAGTGCAAGGCCACTATTAAATAGGAAGGTCAGCAGTTTCCGCCTTATCAACCACCTATGCCAACCTCACTAGCCCATGTTACTACACCAGTTAGCCCTCGGCGAGCTTCTGCTTCTTCTTCCAAGTGCCGAAGATAAGTGGTGGCTTGTCGGACGACCATATTTGCCTCCTAACAAAAAACAGACGCATTGGCCTTTATCTTCTGTGGTCCATTGACAATCTGTTCATGGGTTATATGCGCTATTCACTGATCGAGCAAAGATACCCTTATGACTGTATTTAACTGCCTTTGAACTATTCTGGCCTAGTGGTTATTACGATTGAGTGGTTATTCCAGCTCAATACAGTATGTTATTCCAACCTAGTGATTGTTCCGACCTAGTAACTTTTCTGGCCTGAGTATATCTATCTCCGGAGATAGAAACCAGCACCTTTATTATTTCTAATGCAGCTAGCATATCTTTCTTTAGAGACAAAGATAAACATACTTGTTTTATTCCAAGTCCCTACTGTATAGCTACTGCTAGTATAGATCATGCCGGAAATGGTTTATATAATACTGCTCTCTATTGCTATAAGGATTGAAACCTAACTTTCGGATAGCGCAATAGGCTGATATCATCGCGGAAGCTAGGACAGGATCTAGACTAAAAGAATGGCCGTTGATTTGAAGTTTGAAATAACATAATAATAGCATTATAAACTTTTATTCCTCATATTCAACTTCTGAACAACCTTGTCAAACCCACTTTCTATATTTACCATATATACCATATATACCATATTCTCATAATTACTCAGCCGACGACCCGTCGATCCCGTTTATCCTATTGTCATTATCTATATCCACTAGGATGCTCGTGGGACACAGCAACCTCGATAAGCTCTCCTGAATTCGATACTTCACAGTTTCACCCTCCTCGTACGCGACACTCATCTTCTTCTCCGGGCTCATCACATACTCGGGCACTGCGTTCACGCCCCTCTTCACCCACTTCCACCCCGTACTACCATCGAGCTTCTCAACGCTATATCCCTGCAACGACGCCGGCGTGAAGTTGAGATTGTTCTTGCGGATCCGCACGATAGGGTGGAAATACTCGTTCGTGGCGCCATCAGTGCCGTCGCCAGGGTCCCGCGGATAAGCGCCCGGCGTGCGATCTTTCTTCCCTAAAAGCCAGAAAAAGACGCCTTGCAGGCCAGAGAAGTTGTCTACGATCGGCCCGCAGCCCCAGCCGTTAGCAATATTGATGGCGTTGAGCGCGCGACGGTGGTCCTCGATGAGTGTCTTGATCGCGGCGTCTTCGAAGGAGAGCATGCCAGAGAGAT